CTACCTGCACGGCTGCTTTTTATCCATATGCATTTCCAGGTTTTGTTTTTATAACAGGGAAAAGTTGTGAAACGATACAGAGCGTGGTGTATGCAGTATCACAAGTATCGACTTACAATTGCGTTTTCGCCACTAAGCAATCGCCAAATCATTGAGTCTTAAGCCGTTACAACGTGGCTTACTATTGATATCGATTCTTATCGTGCTCGAACACAGCAGTACGCAGCAGGTCGCAGTACCGCGGCCATGGCTCAGGCCGGCGTAATAGCGTCCGAGCCACCGCAAACGCTTCGTTCACAAACAAATGCATTGTCCGGTACCCATGGATTCTTTCGAAAGCTCTTTGGTAGACAGAGTGGCAGTAATACGCCATGTAAACCTACAGAGCAGCCAAAGAGCCCTCAGCATGAGGACGACTCAGCTGACCTTGATAAAGGCGGCTTGATTCGCCGAATGTCTCGAAGGGTTGTGCCTGGACTGCCTCGAGCGCAGACATTTAAGCGTCAAGTGTCAGAAAGAAGGACTAACCTGTCACCTATTGAGCCAACACCAGATGAAAGACGAGCTGTGTCTATGGACCGACGCTCCTACAGGCCACGATCACCGTCAGCCTCGCAACCCGCAGCCAACCCTCGTGTCAGCGCCCCAAGTTTTCTCGGCTCTCCCCAGGACGAAATACCCCGATTAGTTCCCTCTATATCCGTCAACGATGTTTCGGATGAGTCGCCTAAAGAACCGGCTGATGGAATATTGCACCCGGATGAAGAGAAAACCCTGGCGGACGAGTGTCCAGCACAAGACACCCTGTCTACTGCAGACACTCGTTCCATAACAGCATCCCAATACGACGCCATAATCCATGAGGAGCTCGAGAAGACATGGATCCTGAACCTTAGTATGCACTTCCGAGACCGGTCGAGGAGGGAAAAGTTCTTCGTTACGTATCGTGAGCGTGATCACCTTTGGCGGCGTGTAACAATCTCACTTGATTATCGAGATGCGCCACCAAACTCCCTGGAAATGGATTTGATCAACACGCATTATCAACGTGAGAAGAGTGCAAAGATTTATGAGGCGATCAGGGAAAGCTTAAGGGACATTCAATTTTATGACACTGTAACAAATTTGAAGCTTCAAACAACAGATGGAAGGCTTCATGTACACGTAGTTGAGGATGGCAATGTTGGTATTTACGATAGATTTACTGAGACCAAGCTAATGATATGCAGGAAATTATACAATATCCCACTGTTGCCCAAATTAAGCATTTGGGTTGCCGCCGCATTCGAGAAAGGGACATCACTTTTGAGTCCCACATGTCAGGATTTGTTTACAAAGTCAATGTCAACGGTCACACGCTCATCAAGAAGGAGATTCCAAGTCCTGATACCATAGATGAATTTCTGTATGAAATCAATGCCCTCAATGCTCTAAGATCCTCACGCAATGTCATTCACTTCTACGGTGTGGTTGTGGATGATCAAGATGAGAACGTCAAGGGGCTTCTTATCAACTACGCGGATCAAGGATCTCTTATCGACGTCATCTACGAGCATTGCAAGGATGGTGATTACGATCTTCCTTGGGCGACGAGAGAACGATGGGCCCGACAGATCGTGGAAGGGCTGTCTGATATTCACGAGTCAGGATTTGTGCAAGGAGACTTCACACTATCGAACATCGTTATAGATGGTTATGGCGACGCGAAGATCATCGACATCAATAGAAGGGGATGCCCAGTGGGCTGGGAACCTCCGGAAGCAACACCTCTCATCGAGAGTAACCAGCGCATCACCATGTACATCGGCGTGAAATCAGATTTATACCAACTTGGAATGGTGTTATGGGCTTTGGCAACGCAGGAGGATGAGCCAGAAGCACAGGGACGACCGCTGATACTTGGCCCCGAAGTAAATATCCCGGACTGGTATCGACAAATGGCAGAAGTCTGTTTGAGTAACGACCCGCGCATGCGACTACAGGCGTCTGCTCTGCTAGAGATGTTTCCCCGGCAAAGGGAAAGCGAAGAGACTGGACAACTGAACCCACCTGAGTCGACAATTGACGAAGGCTACACCTTACATCAATACCTTGTCGATGGATACCACCCAGACAACCTTCCGCAAATCAGAACGGTCGAACCCCCTAGCGACTGGTCTTACGTGAATCAACCCGGTGCGGAAACAAGTCCCGTCAGATACGAACCATATTACTACACACGCGGACGCTCTCCTCCGAGCCCTTTGCCGAGTAATTGTGATGAATACAACTCGCCCCGTGGCCTATACGACATTGCTGCCTGGGCAGCGAACCGGAATATACCTTCATCCTACAGTGATGTGGGACCTGAAGGAACACCACTTGATGAAACACCTACTGCCAATAAGTCAGGACTCATTGACTCGGATGCACTCACGGCTCCCGACTCGGCTCTGGAGAGACACGAGACACCAGCTACTTCGACTACAGCTCCAAGTCCAAGCCGAGGTGCGGATTTGGGAGATGATTCACATGCCGGAGCCATCGCGAAAGTTGACGAGGTTCATGCAGGCCAAGGAGAATTCGCGAGCAGCGGCAACGAGGACAATGCAGGAATGACTGACAACAAGTCAGCACCCGACTCAACACAGTCGGGGAACGTTACTCCTGGAGATAACGGCACGGTGATACGGGATGGCACGCAAGACACAAATGAGGATGCACCGGGAGAGAGTGGAAATGAACAAAAAAGTCTTGCGTCAGCAGAAAAGGGAGACGAAGTTGGGGGCAAAGAAACCAAAGAGGCGCAAGCCTTGCATCAGGAAACCGGAAATACATTGGAGGGACTATCCAAAAAGAACGACAGCCAGGAGACTCAAATGCTTCGAGAAGAGGGCAAAACAGAGGATCATCAGACGACACCTGTAAACGAGAGGGACGTCTCTGAAGAGCCAAACACAAAAGCAGAACTGGATGCGGAACAAAACGCGGCAGAAAAGCAAGGGTCCACAGTACCTGGAACCGATCAAGCTACAATGGAGAAAGAGATGATAGGAGGGGAAGCAGACAACCGAGAGAATGGAAAGACGACCAAGGAGGGTGTCGAAGGCACGGAAGCTGTACCAGAGGGTCAGATCTCACACTTATTGACTCACGACGAACCGACGAAAGAAGAGAACATGACTGACGACGTGTCCAAGGGCGCGAACCGTCCGTCCGGACTCTAATGAATGTCTATGAACGACATGGCTTGATGAATGTTGAGTTTGAATCCATTTGTATTGACTATGCTATACTTTACTATCTTATGTTTATTTCATATGTTTCAGCGGGAAATAGGCAGGCATTTTGCATAATAGGGCGCAAATATAAATACTGTTGATTGAATTTATGCTCAATTTTGGTACAGTTACCTTCCTACCTGTGCTGCTTCTGTCGCGACTGTGACGAGGGCAACTGTCTGTTTCTGAAGAGATTCATGTTGAAATCGACGAACGTGGCAAAGAAGCAGTGTTTACCAGTGCTGGCAGGTGGCAGAAGATGTCTAAGTCGAGAACCATAGCATAACAAGGTAATGGCGCTGATTTCTGATTTAGTTTTTCTCTGCATATTCTTTTTCTAGTAATCTTTTCTCTCTCATCTCCCAACTTCATTTTTCTCAACACAACTCCACCACTCTTTACACAAACTCATTCTCCTTCACATTCACCAAAACGAAAGGCATGCCCTCGCGAGGCGGCGTAGCCACTTCAACACCCGCGAGAAGGTGCAAGCATGGTTCAGACAGCAATTCTGTAAAGTTTTAAGCGAGTACAGCCCACGAGAAAGATACTTCATTTCGAGGATATCCGGGTTATCAACACAAATGGCCCAATACGGCGGACGTTCTATAGGAATACTGGATTCGAGTCATCCATGTTTGCTGTCGTCTTGTGCGAGCAGCTTTGAAGTCATCATCAACACATGCCTACTACACAAGCCAATCCAGAAATCCAAATCGACTCATATCCTCCTCGACGAGAACTTCTCCGACTGGGACGGGGCCAACACCAAGAAGGAAACAGATTTTTTTGCCCTCTGAAATACTTGATCTGCAGGTGACGTCTTCACAGCATCTGTTGTCTTGTGTCTCTGCTTCGTTGCGCTCCGCTTGTTATGTCGAGTCGAGGAAAGGCTTAGACTGAAGACCTACTTCACCTCGGTGTTCGACATGGCAGCGAACTCGCAGGCATCGCTACACCTTTTGCTCCAACCTAGTCAACAAGTCGAGTCTCAAGCTAGCGAGGCGCCTTGGAGCGTTACTTACACCAACATATTACCGAGGCTGCAGCATCCCCTCATACCCGGCCGCTATCGTGAGAAGATACAACTGGCTTGCTACCAGTTGCAGCTTGGAGATTAGATAGAGTGGCTTCAAAAACCAGCTCAGAAGTCTGTGATTGTGCAGTTCCATTCATCAGAGCCATTTCTCGCATCAGGTCCTATGATGTAGACCGCTGAAGATCTCGAGGCCATTGCCCTGCCCAGCACAGTTGAATATGAGCTTGAGCTTGATTTTAAGTTGAAGGGCTTCTCAGACAAATTAGTCTCATACCATGAGTTTACAGCAGAGCTTTGAGCTTGTCATCCTAAGACTTATGATTGTATCCTCTAATCTTTATGATGAGTTTAGGAGATAGGAACCCAAGTTTTGATCCTCTTATCCTAAAGCTTATGGCAATATCGTCTAAATCATTACCGAGTCTCTAAGAGATGAGAATCGAATATCTTCATCAACCTGGGCAAGCATGTGTGCCTTAATGACAGTCCGAGCCCTGCTCGAAAAAGACGTGCATTAGATGCACTTAATCCAGAAGACCGAGAAACGGTCGATCAACTTCTCCGCAAGGAGATACCAAACAAGCTCGTGAAACCTGAGCCTGTTGATACTGAGGGTGAGGCCATTAATCCATCCGAAATGAGATCACCATAACGCCTTCAAACGGTCTAAACCCCAGCTACTAGGAGAAGCTGGCGCATGCATGTCTCCGCCTCGTCCGACGCGATCCAGAGGATCCCGTCCACCGACGCTGCATCGCAGCAGCAGCAATTGCAAAGACAAAAACCACGCGAGTCAACGAGGCTGGTCAAACTGGAGAGGTAGTAGAAATACTACCCTCACCCTTCACGAAATATCAACAAATAATGCAACATTCCCTGGGGCCGCCTGGACCCTATCCGCACCCACCGCCCTGGCTATTATTGCCCTACGAGTTATCCGACGTATTGGCGATAACCCAAACTCCACTGGCATCGCTATCCTCAACTCGGAGTCTGTGTTGCAATATACAGGTCATGCTATTGACCTTTTTGCTGAAAATACAACTACTGGAGCCATTTGCGTTGGGGTTCGCCCAACTACTCAATTGCAGGGCTCACGGCTATTGCCACCGTGAAATCATTACAATAAATTGACCATTGTACGTTGTTTTGTGATATAGCTTTAGAATTGTTCTAGAATATATCAACAGCTTGACGTTCGATATCACGTGAGATGATATGTGATGGACGGATGGCTGTGGGGGTCAAGGGTCGAATTTTTCTCTGCCTGATTTTCGATTGATGATGACGGAGAAATATGGCTAATATTGAACTGCAACTTTGAACTTGGAGGCGAATGTGGAACCGCTTAAGCTTGGCGAATCCCGATCTTTGTGTTTCTGTTGGGGAAACTGGGGAGAATGAACCAGGATGTAAAAGATACGTACCATCCCTGCTCAGGGCAGCTGGAGCTCGGGAGAACAGGACTGACTCTGAATGGAACTGACAATTCCATTCCATTCGGAGCACGGTAAAAGAGTAACCGAGAGTCTAGAAACCGAGACCCCTCAAATGGACAAGTCATGTCAGTAAACAGCCAAATGGGCCGAGGTATCGTTCGATCTGGGGGAAGAGAGGTTGTATTAGGATTAGGAACGACCCTGAAGTTCGCGATAGGGCTGATATGTTGAAGACTATCACTTTGATCTTCTTTGCATTGGGATTCAACAATTAACAATAATGACAATTTGATGAATCTCGGAATGAAAATCATATGACGTTCTCAATTAGACGCCTATAGCTCGAGCACATGGCATGATAACTCGGGATTTGGTGGACGTTGCAGTTATGATATCAAAATGTAAGGTGAGGTTGGCCAAGGATCCCTATCAAAGATTTGAGGGTATCAACCCGAGGTATGCACTGTACAATGAGAACTGTGCAGAGACTGGCGCTGACTGCTGCTAGATCTTTGAGATAAGCGTGTGAGTGCCTGTGTGTCTACGTCAAAGCAGACGGGGAACGAGCCTCGGCATGCCCGGTATTGAAACGGTGCTCAACCAAAGTTGAAATTGATTTACATATCGACAGCTCAATTGGGATCAATTCGCCACTACAACTGTCAATGCAACTGAATTCGTGTGTCTGTACCCGTTCCGTTTGTGATACTGTCCAACCTCATCATCAGCGTCTATGAGTCCATCTACCAACAAAACGCGTTGGATATTGATGACCTTGAATGGATCGGGCTTTTTCAATCATGCCATGCGAGATCCCACAATCGACTTTGGCAAATAGCATCGCCTCTAACAAATCAGTGGAGATGTGGACTCAGCATTTTTTTCTTCTTGAGGCTTGACTTAGATCCAGTCTCAGTCTCGAAGCTTAGGCGGCTCCGGGTTTTTCGTGGGAGCTCCCCTGCATGGAAAACATGCACTGGCGTGTTGCCTCTTGCAGGGCTAGATGTAGATGTGCCGTCCCTTTGAACTAGATGTATTCATGAACTCAAAAATGGTGATGAGATACTTTGTCAGTGGCAGGGATACCCAAGCGGTACCCGGGCGCCCAGCCGAGCCCCACACTTGATTGGAGCAATGGAGCCGCCAAAAAGTTGTTGGGGAAGCAAAAAAGGTTGAGGGAAGGAGCGATCAGGTCGACGTCGACCTTTCGTCCCAGCTACAAGACCCAGTATCTGTCCGATCAGACGTCGCCCAGTTGATCTTGTATTTGCGGAGAAAGACCGATACAATTTCAACACAATGAATCGCCTACTCACTGTACAGTGCCTTACCTATCGTGGGCTGATTACTGGCATCATTCTTCGTCTAAGTGACAGGGCATAAGGAAGATCTCGGTAACTCAAGATGGAGAGCGGGGAGTTAGATGAGATATGCATCGTAAGTTGTTGGAGGAATCGTAATCTGAATTGCAGTGCTTGTAGAAGGTTGATGTGAATCACTTACAGCAGCCGTTGGTTGTGACAGGTTCAAGTTTGACTTCTAGAAGACAGTGACATGGCCAATTGTTATCAGTTCCAGCCAATTGAGACGTCAATATGCTCAACCACCTCCAACAAGTCCTACGACTCGCTTAACCCAATATCAAAACTCCTATAATGGTCAAATTGATGTATTAGTGAAGGGTTCAGTACTGTACATACTGTACATACAAGTCCCTGAATTCATGATGTATAAGCGCCTCATCGATCAAGGAGGGTTAGGTTGCCGGGAAGCGACGGGAGCTGCTGTTGCCTTTTCTTGGTCCGCCCGCCCCAATGGATTTTTTCCCCTTTGATGGGGAGACGGCAGGCGTGTGTGACATAATACGCCAGATTCAACCTCACTCACAACTCGATACAACCACAGATAGGATAGGCCTGTCTGAATGGATAGTGGCATTCCATTTGCTTCGTTCTCATCAATCTTCACAAGCAAAGAATATCTCAGATCGCCGAGGTTCGAAGCATTATGATGACTTAGATACGATCGTAGAAGCCTATCAGTCAGACGTCAACAGAATACAAGCTTGCCCCAACTTTGTCTTGAGCTTCCCCAACTCAAAACCGACACGCAATTCTGGTCGAAAGGAAGAGCTTACCTGGCCTCGCTGTCATTCATCATCTGATTCTGTATCGGCGTATACCATCTTCATTTGCCTCCGCCTCCCGCTTGAGAAGTCGATTCACGCAAACCCCAGCTCTTGGTGACCAAAACGGCTTCGTTTTACTTCCCAAACCTTGAATTCGCCGACACAACAAGGGTTAATTGTCAATTAGAGGTCCACTCAGGCCCTGTATTTTTCTTTGCCTCCTCACTGAAAGAAGCGCTGTTTGGTGTCTCTGTCGCCGCTGAGAAGGAGGCAGAACAGCCCGGGCAAGGCCTGAGACCAGACCCTCCACTTGCAACCTCCACTTGTCTCACGCCTCCCAAACCCACTACACACCCCCTCCCCAGTCTCTACCGCTTCCTCGTCCTCATCCAATTCAATTCAATCGATTCTTTCCTGCGCCCAGCTCCGGCTCGGGTCTGACTCTGATAGTATAAAGTCCTTTTAGAGCCCTCCGCCCCAACCGGTACTACTTCTCGACCAACCTCCTCCAGTTCCTTCTCCCTCTTATAAACTCTTCACCCTTTGTTTAGGATACTCTTCATCCTAAAAAGGTTCAATCTTCCCTTCACTTATCCGAGTAACCATCAGCTTTGTGGTTCTCTGTGTTGGGTTCCTATATCTTCGAGTGGACGACAGACACTTGCCATCGTCAACCTATAATCGACAAATCAATCGATATGGCGACAGCTACTGCTGCGGGCAAGAATGCCCAGCCATTCCCTGATGGCACCAAGGACTATGTTCCTCTCCGCGCTGGCGGTGCCAAGAAGGATACTAACAAGGTCCATATTGCCGATACTCCTATGACCTGGAGCAACTGGCCTCAGCACATCAACTGGCTCAACACCACGCTGGTTATCTTCGTTCCCTTGATAGGCTTCATCTCCGCCTACTGGGTTCCTCTCCAGCTTAAGACTGCTCTCTGGGCTGTCTTCTACTACGTTCACACTGGTCTCGGCATCACTGCTGGTAAGTCAACACGCAATGAAGCACTGCTTCCAAAACCTTGATGTCATCGATCAATTACTTACAATACCAGGCTACCACCGACTGTGGTCTCACTCTGCCTACAAGGGCACTACCCCTCTCAAGATCTATCTCGCTGCTGTCGGTGCTGGCGCCGTTCAGGGTTCCATCCGATGGTGGTCATATGGTCACCGTGTTCACCACCGTTATACCGATACCGACAAGGACCCCTACTCTGTCCGCAAGGGCCTCATGTACTCCCACATGGGCTGGATGATCCTCAAGCAGAACCCCAAGCGACAGGGCCGTACCGATATCACCGATCTCAACGAGGACGCTGTCGTTGTCTGGCAGCACAAGAACTACATCAAGTGCGTTCTCTTCATGGCTCTCGGTTTCCCTGCTCTCGTCGCTGGTCTTGGCTGGGGTGACTGGTGGGGTGGCCTCGTCTACGCTGGTATCCTCCGTGTTTGCTTCGTTCAGCAGGCCACCTTCTGTGTCAACTCTCTTGCCCACTGGCTCGGTGACCAGCCTTTCGACGACCGCAACTCTCCCCGTGACCACGTCATCACTGCTCTCGTCACCCTCGGTGAGGGTTACCACAACTTCCACCACGAGTTCCCTTCGGATTACCGCAACGCTATTGAGTGGTGGCAGTACGACCCTACCAAGTGGAGCATCTGGTGCTGGAAGCAGCTTGGTCTCGCTTATGAGCTGAAGGAGTTCCGTGCCAACGAGATTGAGAAGGGCCGTGTCCAGCAGCTCCAGAAGAAGCTCGACCAGAAGCGTGCCACCCTCGACTGGGGTATTCCTCTTGAGCAGCTTCCCGTTGTTGACTGGGACGACTTCGTTGCCCAGGCCAAGGCTGGAAAGGGTCTCGTTGCCATTGCTGGTGTTATCCACGACGTTACCGACTTCATCAAGGACCACCCCGGTGGCAAGGCCCTCATCAACTCCGCCATTGGCAAGGACGCCACCGCCATCTTCAACGGTGGTGTCTACCTCCACTCCAACGCTGCCCACAACCTTCTGTCTACGATGCGTGTCGGTGTCCTCCGCGGTGGTTGCGAGGTTGAGATCTGGAAGCGTGCTCAGTTCGAGAACAAGGATATCACCTACATGAACGACTCTGCCGGTCAGCGCATCATCCGTGCTGGCTCTCAGGTCACCAAGATTGTCCAGCCCGCTGCCAGCGCCGACGCTGCTTAAGCGGTACAATCTTTTTAACGACGAGAGGAGGAGGCATAATTGATCGATGTGCAATGTGGAAGGATACGAAAATCGCCATGTCAGTAGAGACATGTCGTTGAAAAGGTGTGGGGATACAGTTAGCCACAGATCACATGTCAAAACATGAACTGTAGGCCGGCGCCACATCCATCCCTGGAGGAAGAGACAAAAGCACAACACGTTTTTAACGCGAAATCTTAAATTCGACTCATGAATGGCGTTGGGGGGTTTCTTTGTGTTTTGAGACTACTTAGCTTTGACGGCTTTGAACAATACCAAAAGAGAATGGTTAAACATGAAATCAGCGAGTTGCACAACCACCACTTGGTTCTTCATCAGATAGTATGACTGCTCGGAAATACAATTTTTTTTGAATAATATCAAATCTCCAATCATTTATTGTGAATGCTATCTTTAGTATACAATGCTTAGCCTTGAATATCTGACCTTTTCTATGTAATTTAACCTATTTGGTATTTCTATATCATGAGAAATCATGGTTATCAACACAAGTGTCAGAAACGTTGCTAATATCTTCTACACTTCCATGATTTCGTTGATATTCTTAAGGCCTATTTAGCGGCTAGATGTATGTCAAAACTTTAGTATCCATCGGCTTCCAAATCAGCTGCAACTGGTTCGGAGCGTGTCCTCATGGTCGTTGTGTCGCATGATTTCTCGCGACATGTATGCTTGATGACGACTATACATACCACTGGCCAAGGGCCTGGCGGTCTCTGACCCTGTCCGAACGACCTCAGGACATTAGATCTTTTCAGATATCCTGCCATTCTACCATTGGTGATGTGCGACAGGCGTCTTTCTCCCTTCGTGGCCACGCAACGCCGCGCCTGACAAGATCCTCAAATATCTTGACTCGAAGGTGGTGGAACGGCATGTAGCGCAGGCGGGGGGCATCCTCCAACAGATGGAAAGATAACGGCTGCCTCAACAATAGATATCGGCTGGATATCTGTAGCCTTGTTTGTCTTAACACTGCAAGCTGACTTTAGCAGCTTTCAACGGTGACTTCATGGAGTAGCCATTCGTGCTTTCTGTACTGCCAACTCAGAGCTCTTGGCCCATGCCCCATTTGGTGTCTGACGATAACACAACAGGCGCCCATCGTCACCTGTGCTGCCCAATATGTGACCATCGTCATCGAAGCCCACACGCCACACAGGGGTACGATGATTATCCAGCTTGGATATCTCTTGGAAATTGTGCTTAACCTGACCCGGTTGCCCCGACCATTGTCGATCATTGTGGGATCCTGACTTTGCGAGACTGGCGCTGAGTCCGGAAGGATGGTGCTGATGTTGATGGTAACTGTGGGGCTGTAGCTGAGGGGTGGTAGCTTGTTTCTCTGTTGGTGTCGCAGTTCCGTTTGTTCTTGCTTGTGGTGTCGAGTCTCTCGTTGACATATGTGGTGCTGACCGAAGGAGATCCGCTGCAGACCACGACTTGCCATCATCTTCAGAATAGGGTGTTTCGATTCGGAAAACGCGCGCATAACCATCCTGACATGCTGTCGCAATAACATCGTAACCTCTAATATTGCCTGCAGCCCATGAGACATCCCGCACCAGGCCTCGATGGCCCGTTAATTCAACAGCAAGATAGAACTCTTTCTGGGTCTGTTGAACGCCTATAGAAGTTGCAACTATATCCCGCGATCGATAAACTTTGACAGTGTCCATTGCAGCCACCACGAGACCTAAGGAATCCGAGGGTACGCCTGCGCGCAGAGCGGTATAACATGGTTCTGGGTTGGGGTCGAAGCGCACACGAAAGGCGAGTTCTTCTCCCCTGTTTGGTTTTGGGGCGACACTGAATTCGTCGATAGATGCATATTCGGATAGGTTCTCTGGTTGGTCGTTCTCGTAAACTGTCAAACGGCCGTCCGTCGCGAGGAGCGCAAGATATGTATGCCTTGTCTCCTCATTATGCTTCATTGAAAACGATCGGTAGGGGGCTTTGTTAGATCGTGTATCAAATGCCGGTTTTCCGTTACCAGCTCGTCCGGTACAAAATCGTCGACCAGGCGCAGCAGAAGGATCCTCAGCCCACAGACGGAACCATCCTTCAATGCCGAGGGAAGCGATCAAATTAGGATAAACAGTCGCAGGAAGCCATTGAATCTGCAAAAGTGAGGGAATAACGTCAGCGCGCGTGTGCGACAGGATGACACAGGAGGGAAGAATACTACGAGACAAGGGTTTATTGGTAAAGGGGGCTGCGTTACCTCTATAATCTCGCCGCCATGTGCAGTCCATGTATCGCAAAGGCGCCATGTGCCATCCTTGTGTCGGTTAAAGACGCGGATCTTTCCATCTACTGAACCAGTTGCGCAGCGATCGCCGTAAGTGTTGAATGCAACGGCTTGGACGAGATCTTTATGGCCGTGTTGGAGGTTGAGGTCGAAGGCTGGTGTTTCTTCGCCGGGTGATGGAGGGATTGAGGCGCTCATTGTAAAGCACCTGGAATACTGAAGCGGTTTAAGGTGAGAAGAGGACGGTCAGTTTGTTGTGTCTTGTACTATAGTTGAGCTCCGATATCGTCGTTCGATGTCTTGAGGTGGTGGTGATGTGTTGTTGACTTGGAACCTACTAAAGCTCCACAGCGGCTCAAGCTCAGCTCAGCCCGGCACGTACCGCAGCCTGTCAAAATGAATGCAGGTTCCCCGCGTGAGGTGCCTGTACCTGTGCCTGATTTAAGTCGCCCAATCAATTGAGGCATCATCATATGATCAAGATTGCCTTATATGATAGAATATTCTTACCAAAGAATTGCTAAATTGGCCTAGCTATTTATATATAGCGCTATGATACAATGGCTTAATATTATGGCAAAGCTCTTCTGTGCGTTACTGGTTGTTATTATCTTCATCCAAGATGAGCTGGCACGCGACGTAATGGTGTAGCTTTGTGCCTGATAAACAGGAAATTAAGTATAATTCGAATATATAAATATGGTGAGTCGGCAGAACTCATCATTTGAGACTTGGGCATCTCATCATATCCTATCTCAAAGCTTCTTCGTGAGACTCAGGATAGTAGTCATGATGGCTTGAGCTCTTCATGTTCGGCTCTTCCACAGGCAACGGACTTACTCTCTATTGTCTGAGAAAGCAACAGTCTCAGATGCAACCGTCGAAACTTTATCTTAATCACTAGCAGAGTTCTTGAACATGAACTCAAAAACATGAATTATGGATGTTATCATGAGTGATGTAAGTGCAGGGATCTTTGGCTGTTCCACAGCGCAAGAGGCCCGCTGATTTGTTCACGCAAGTCTCCACAGGCAAGTTAGAGCTTCTCAGCCTTGCTAAACTTCAACCCTTCCATCATCAACACCATCGCGTTTGTCTTGTGATAGCTGATATACCCAACATGGCGCATCTTTTAAATCCCCTCGCAACGACATCTCAGATCTACCACAAATCTTCATTCTCATCTTTACCCAAAGATCTCCAAGACACAATCTTTATCACTTCACAATGCCTCACACAAGCTGCTGGTCAGCTGCTAGAGCTTCCTCAGTCCGTCACTGCGCAGGCCAACGTCATTCTGGCGCGGTATTGGCTTGTTGACTCTCCAATGGCCAATGAATTTATTGTAAGACCAAACCTGGGGATATATCTCTCAACTTTATTTGACGATACTAACTCGTGCTCATAGGACACATCTGCTGCTGCTCTGTACCTAGTTGCTAAAATGGGACCTCAACCCAGGTCATCGCGCGACATATCAAATGTTTACGCCTACCTATTATCAGAGAGTTCGTTCTTCTTACAGACTCCGGGAAGTCCAAAGAATGACCCAAGGTCGTACTATGTATCTGAAGCAGACTACCACGCCTTCCAGACTCGCATCCTTGCCATTGAAGCTCGCATTCTTTACACCCTCTCTTTCGACACACACGTCTCGTTACCTCATCCACTTGCCGTTACTTACCTTCAGACACTCGATTTTCTTGCGCAACCTAAATCTATCATCTCTCTACGTACCATTCAATATCTGAATGCAGCTCTCCTCTCACCACAGATGTTGTATCTTACTCACCAACCTCATGCGCTAGCTACGGCTGCTATCTACAACGCGGCTCGCGATGTGGGTGCAAAGATGCCAGAGTGTGAATGGTGGGAGGTTTTCGATGTCGACCGAGAAGAGCTTGGATTCCTTGTTGTCGGAATGCGAAGCGTGGAAAACTACCTTCGCAAGATCAAAGAAGATATGCCGGATCTAAGCGTGGGCATGCCTACGCGAAAGTCGATAGATATCGAGCTGCAAAGGAGGGGCGTGGGAGGTGGGAATGATACTGCCGAGGTTGACGAAGAGCAACAACTTATGGACATGATGGACAGCAGATGATCGCGTGCCTTAATCTTTTTGACTCTGCGGTCGGTATCGGATTCGGTCCTGATGCAGCAACCTTGAAAAAGGGCGCCACTGTTTCGCGTGTCGCATGTCAGACAAGACACGACCAATGAGCTGGTGCATGCAGCTGTGGTTCTGCATATTCAAGGTCGATTTTTGAGAGCATCAGGCCATTATCGTGAGTCTCACTGGCTACAGTCAGCCCGGCGGAACGGAAATGACAATCGATGGTCAAGTCAATGGATCAATTGCGACGGTGTGGCATATCAAAAGCCGAATGTGGCCTCAATAAGCAATTTGCAAAAGTCTGGAATCAGCCACGAGGAATCAACGAGAGAGGAAATAATGCAGGAAGAAAAATATATGCGGGCGACAACAATACACCATGCATGTGTATGCGTGACACTTTGCCAGCCGGGTTTCTGGTAATCGCGTCTATAATACCATCTCTATCAAGTCAAGATACAACCAAAGTGACACTTGGCCTCATTTTCTTACGTCTCCGTGACCCAACTCACGGTTCTAGAATTCATATACAGCATACACTATTACGTTTCACCCCGCGATGCACAATCTCAAGCGGCAGAGGCGGTTACTCTCAGACGCACATAGTTAAAATCAACCGCCAATTCACCCATAAAACCTGCATGGTCAAGTTCAAAGCTCCATCAACCAAGCTTCTGCCGTGTTATTAGTGACATGCGGTGAAGACAAACTAGACTGTGGACCCTCAGGGCACTCTTGTACCCCAATCAGCCTCAAGGGCATCGTGGAGTTGAGTGCGGGGGATTTGAAGAACTAGCGCTGCCCTCCACCACTGGCGTCTGTTGGGAACTGCTCTCAACGTTACAACAAAGTATCGTGAAACTTGGGAATGATGTAAGTCGTAACCGCGTACCGGTAACGAGGCGTTCAAAGAATGGGGTACAGGATCCATTACAGCCCTGAATATTTGATCTCCAGTCAAGTGACAATGACAACTATCGTGTACAGTATACGTAACTGTGCATGCTAACTGATTAGCAAATGCCCTCTTTTCTGCAATGCTATCTTGTCTTGTTGCCGAAGATATGAGACACATTATCTGGGTAGAGCCTCTTGTTCAACCGTCCTACCAGCGGTAAAGCCAATATCAGGAATAGCCTCCAGTTAGACAAATCGATCTGACATAACGCCCCAAAAACCTTATCTTTCCGCGTACAAAAGCATAAAAAGAAGGCTAGAAAATTCTCATGATAGCCAACTACCTATTCGGGGACAAGCAGTCGAGAGTGCAGTAAATCAGGGGGAGGCCCGGTTAGCACGGAGTGCGAGGATATCCGTTGCCGCAAAGCAAAGCGCCCAATTGAAGCGCGAGTAAATTATCCCATTGGAGCGAGCTCCGATCGACAAGGTCATCCCGCGGCTTTTTCTGAAATCTTAGGTGAGGCGAGAAATCGGGCTTGTTGATTGGTTCGATGGACAGGATAGGAAACCCTAGAAATCTGCAGTTGGTTTTCTAGAAGGACGTCTCTTTTTCGCCCGTCTTAGCCGGTCACTGGAATTTATTGTGGTTCTTTTATGGGATTTAAGAACGGGAATAGTTACAAGATCAGATTACGTGACTAAAGATGAGTAAGAAAAAAAGAGCCGGTCTCGGTGGAAGACATGGAAGTGGCAGTAACTTCAGAATCATCAACTGTTACACGGCCTTGGAGACCCCCATTCTCTGGAGCATGCACGGAGAAGACGGAAACAGGGGTGCACTAGTTAGTTATTGTCAGAGTTGGTGTGTGCACCCTCTAGTAGGCTTCACATCGTGGGGCAAAGCTGAGGGTGTTGTTGTTTGGTCCTGAAAAGGAAGAAAGAAAATGGCTCACTCTGTTTAGTTTCGTGGAGCATCAACAGGCAAGGCACATCGTGGAGATGACGAGATACGTATCTTCAATCGCGAAAGGTATATTAGGGCACCTCGGCCTCTTTCTCTAAACCTACCTACCCTTACTCTTCTCTATCTCACACTCTTCCACTGTCCATTTCCTCACTTACACACAAACGAAACCACCATATTCACAATGTCTGATTCCGTCACTCCCCAGACCCCTTCCCACTTCGGTGAGAACAAGGGCATCAAGTTCACCTTCAAGACTGGCAACGCCCGTTACCAATGTGTTCTTCAGGACCGAGCTCACTAGTATGTTAAGCCTTCTTACTCTAACTTCAGCCTCAAGCAAAGTACTAACCATCCCTCAGTGAGCGCACCAAGGCTTCCCGCCAGAACTCTACCGACTCTGTCTCCTCAAACGAGTCTATCAAGACTGAGAAGTCTTCCCACTAAATACGCATGGGACAATGGCGCCCTTGATAGCCCTCAATCATAAAGAGGATCAACGGTGACCAGAACAAACAATCAAAATGGGGGGAGTTTATTATACCACATTTATCTGGCATTAGCGACGGTTTTACAGGGACATTTGGCGTCTCAATGAATCAAACAATCTTTTAACTGTTACTTTACTATCTCGTTATTTGTGCTGTGCTGTGCTGAATGTGAATGTGAAGGTCATGAACGTATACTTGGTCGCATCTCAATACCAAGACTGGGAGTATTCTCATCTCTGGGCAAACAAGCATTTCACCCAGTGAGAGCATCCAAATGACAAACAGACATTCAGATTGTCAGGTTCATCTGCAAGATCCCGAATGCCAAGTTTTTCCAAGTCGCACTCGGTCACTACAAAAAGAATCGCGGACCCGACCCCGTATCTCTCGGTGTCTCGCCTTTTCACCTGGATGGATCAAAACTAATTACTGTACTCCACCGTCTCAGGATCGATCCTCTTTCGCCGTTGGGATCAGGAACGAATGTCCGAATCAGTGAGTTGTGCTTATCCACAGCGGACTTCGGACCCAATGGTGATAAGTCGGAGGTCGGTGGCTTTGAGTTCCGGCGGCTGAAGGCGAATGAGGTCGGGAGCCCGTGAGATGCGACCTCCGCCAGGCGGCCAGATTGGATCGGAAGACTCAGCCGGGCCGTCAGCTCCAACAATTCATTATGATCGGTAGCTTCGGATATATACACTCTTGTCTCATCTCACTTATTTAGACCACTATAAACCGGCAGCTGTCGACCTCAGCCATTCAACAGGCTCATTGAGGGATTGAGGGGAAAGCCAAAGTCGTACGCCATGTACGACAACATCCCGCCAGGCGTCGTCATATCGTACCTGGCTAACAAACCGATGAACCATGCTCGGCTCTGCAACAGAGCCAGGCTGACTCGAGCAACAGGCAATAAGTTCCGACAATCGGTGCCGCGCAATCAAATTACCAGACAGCCATATAAGAGACGGCCAATCTCACGTACTCGTAATAGGCTCGTCTTACTATACTTTGCGTCCAGCACTAACCACGAATACAATGACGTTTCAAAGGCAGCAGAGTTTCAGGGGCTTGTTCATTGACGCTTATCGCGAACTGACTTTGGTGGGTGAACAGTAGAACAGAATAGGCAAGATTTCTCGAAATGTCTAGTTTTCTCTTTTTCCATTTGGGCGCGGCCAAGCCAAGCGCGTGATGGTAGGTCGCTTGTTACTCGGTACTGTAATGCATATCACACATCACATCGCATCACATCACGCGCCGTCCGCAAGCGTCGATCGAGAGAATTGATGTTGATTCTGATCTGACAAGATAAAGAAGAATTGAGGATTATAGAGATGTAATCAGATGAAAGAATTGTTATTTGAAACAATAGTATTGCTATACTTTTGTGTTACTTGGCTGTCAAAGTCAAAGAATCCTAAGCACAGCCCACTTTCACTTCTCAGCTGGACAGAATGTGCGAGTAAGTCCGAATCTGAGTCGTAGTCGTAGTCGCAGTCACAATTGATTGATACTGAACTTAATAGGCTTGTTTAAATGCTCCTTATCCCACCTCTTACGTCAATTTCTCTTCTACTCCTTCTACTGAACAGTTTCTTCTGAGCCTACCTCAAGCTCCTTTCTTTGTATTCCACTGTCACTCTCACTCGTTGTTTGTGTAGCTGTTGGATCTGCAATTCACTTACGTACGTACGACGTGCTCGACTATTTCTGTCGCTTTTTGAGAGAGGATGCCTCATCCTCTGGTGGCTACCGGTATGTAAATCATCAATTCACAGCGCCACACTCCATTATCTCCATGATTTATCCACCAATTTCACTGTCATCCAGTCTTTTGGTTATCATCCATCCCTGCATTCATCATCTTTACTGCTCACTCAGGCCAAGCCCATGGATGTTGATTACCCCGCGTCCAGGCTTGCGAATCATAGTGCACGCCTCGCCTGTGTCTGCCTGAGCTGAGGCCAAAAAGCGTCGCCTGAGCCACAGTCAGTTCTAGTCCCGAGGCTGCCTGTGGCAAATACAGATGCCAGAAGCAGCACGAGGCCTACGCAAGCTCAAACTTCCCCTTGATTTGCCTCCAAATCCTCCAATTTATTCGTTGCTTCTGCTTTTACTTTTCTTATTCTAGTTTCTGGAAAGCTCTATTTTTGCATTTGTGTTTTGTGTCTTGTGAAAAGGGAGACTTTCCTGTCTTCGTTCTGTTTGCTCGCTTGACAGCTCTCACTCCACTCCACTTAACATCACAACACATCCATTTTCACACCTCTCTTTTTCTCTTCCATCTTCAGTCTCTCTGCAGACTTGAGAAACAATGCCTAACCATGTTGTACTGGCATCAGGTGCCGTAGTCGCCGTTTCGGTCGCTGTCGCCACCGCTGTTGCCATTTTCGAGTCGCCAGAAGTGCGACGATACGCCGACGATGTTCGCAGGAGGATAGCTTTCGCCCTGTACTCTATGGGCGAGGGCATCCAACCTCCCCACCGTGAGCCGAGATTCAATAGACCTGAGGATGCCGATGGCTTCTTCGAATCCCGCCGTGGTGCTGGTGCCGAAGCCGGAGTTGACGCCGATGAGGAAACTCGCCGACGACAACGTGAGGAGCTGCTTTATTGGAACTCGGTCATGTTGGAGAAGCAAGAGAGGGAACAGAAGGACAAGGAAACCGACGAGAAACCCCCCGCGACTACAGATTCATCACGACGAGGTTCTTCATTTGACGACTTCCTTCGTCAGGACGAGGGTGCTGAACGAGGCGCTTATGTCTTTAACACTGGAGCCGATACCCGCGCAGTGGATGACGGTCTGCGACGTCGTGGCGATGGTTCTCGCGGCTTCTCTTCTCTCTACACCAACCCCTTTGCCGACGAGCACAACATTGATCACGACGAACTGAACGATGATATCGAGCAAAGCCGCCATATTTCTCCTGCCCAAGATGAAATTTCCGATATCTACAGCGCCACTACCCAGGACCGAGATGAGAAGCCCGCCGCTCTTATCGACACTGACCCCACCCCCGCCCTTTCTGAGACAGCTTCTTCCGCCACCCTTGAGCGTGAAATCGGTGTCGACGAGTACATGACTGCTGGACAAGAGGACCGCGATGAGGCTTATGCCTCCATTCAGGCCTGGGCGCAAAACACCAGCCCCGATTTCTACTCCCCTCTTCCCGTTACTCCCAGCGCTCCCATGTCTGAGCCTGAAATCATCAGCGACGATGGCATGGTGACACCCACCGACTCTGTGTCTCTTGTCGGCTCCGGGGATGACATCGCTAATGATGCGCAATCATCTCGTGAGGGTGAGAACGGCCGCTACTTCGATGTCATGAGCGAGAGCTCTGGCATGGCTACGCCCGCTAGCTGGTCTGAGGTTGGCAGCGTCATCAGCGAGAGCGACGTCCACATTCCTGTGCACCAATAAACTCTGTCCTGTGGGAGTTTTAAAAATCATTCAAGTCGGAATATAGGTAGGAAAGCCAGCTGTGTAGGAGCAGGAAATTGTTTTGGGAATTATATAGCAGACGTATACAGACGTTTATTAGGGTCTGACTTCTTGGGTTTTCTTTCTGTCTTGGAGTTGGAGTTCAGGTTGCAGTAGCAAACTTATATCCTTAGCACCTGGCTAATCTCGTTTCTTTAACAAAATCTATCGACATATCTGTCTCTACTTGCCATCATGTGTGAACTTCTTATATGCATCTGTACATCATTTGTCAACGCCTATATCCCATGTGCATCTGTATATATACTACGACTCAAGATTCTCCTTGTAATCGCCCCAAAGTTGCTCAACCGGCCGTCCAACCAATTCGGTCCAGAACGGCTTCTCCTCATATCTCTGAATCCGCAACTTCTCATTCAAGCGGCGAATTGTCCCCTTTCCAAACCGCTCCTCCAAGTAGTCCAGGAAGTAGGCCGTCTGCTGATAGCCAGCGTCCCACTTTCCATTGCTATCGCGTTTCCAGTGAGGAGGACTGAGAAGGCAGTGAAGCCGCACCCAGTCTGCGATGCCTTCGATCAGACCGCCAGGGCAAGTTCCATGACCGTTGTACTGGAGGCAGTGTACGAGCTCATGAGTGAGCACGCCGTTGATCTCTTCTGTACGGCGAGATATGGGGTGGATGTTGGCGATATACTCGACTGAGAAGTGAATCTCCTTATGATCGCTGTCAAGGTCAGAGCCAGTGGTGTAAGCTACGCCCGACATGCTACGAAGGATCACCGTAACAGATCGTGTTGTTGGGATTGTTGTGGTAGGACACGTGGGCGATTCATAAAGAAGCGCCAGTACATGCTGGGCCGCCTTGGCAAGGCATTCTGCAGCATTGACGGAACTAAGGAAGACCGCAGCACCGGGGTGAGAGAGGTCGCGACATTCAAGACGTAGCTTGGGGACCTTGAACTTGCCGGCGCCGGGAATATCGGGGCCATTCCGTGGGCCGGAGGGAGTGGGTACTTGGATCGCCGGTGTCATGATCGGAGCCCGGGTGAAGATTGACGCGGGGGTTGGAAAGGGAGTGACTGGGGGAAGATGAGGCATATATAAGTGCTTGGTGATGAATCAGGGAGAGGGTTTAAGACGGGTGAACCGCGATTTTGATGTTAGGGGTTGGAGTTTCACGAGATGTTGAAGTTAGATGAGGATGGAATGTAACGGAGGGGTAAGATCAGACTAGAAATGGAGGCTTGCTGGGTGAAGATGAAAACGGCAGTGTAATGCGATCATAGAAATGTCAGATAATCAGATAATCGAGCCTGAAAAGGTAGAAGGAGAACAGCTCATGCGTGTTACTGAGATATCATGGGTAAAGTAAACAATCAATGATGAGGCTGTATCATGATTGAGATGACCCCTCAGTAGAATTGAACAGGGGTATCAAATTAGTGGCTCGTGTACCTTGTAAAGCTCTGGAAGGCCCCACGATGCTCTGTACAACACAGTGGAGTAGCTTGTAGGCAGTTGCAGCAAAGCTTGGCGGGCCGTCAATCCATTCGCTCTTCCACATTCTTCGCCGGGGCAACTGCGGCAACCTCGTTCGGGTAGATTGTTTTTCTTCACACTTGCTGCGCCCGACATTGACATTGACACCCAACCACATGATAACAGCAAAACCATACCTAAGTAATAGAGTATAGTTTTAAGAAAATCTATTGCGTTTTTAAAGGAAAAGCGTAATTAAAAGCATATTGGGCATCACTCTCTATCTAGAAGACACTTTGGGGGTCAATAGTCCTATTCGAATACAGTGTTTAAGATGCACTTTTGGGCTCTGCGGCAGATTACAGCAAACATCTGGGGGTGAGCCAGCTCCATCAGCTCGCGCGATTGGCTACAGTATCTACCTACCTACACAAATTGGATACCCGTATTCGCCTTTAGTGCCACAACCATAACATCAACATAACAAACAACAACAACTAAAAAGAGCTCTCTCACACTCTCAATGCGCACTTTCAGCTAAAGCGATTCTTCTGTTTCGCTCTGCCGCCTACGGACTGTCTCGCAATTAAAGTCACAGGTATGCGAACATGCGCTTTCCCCCCCCTGTTTAATTTCCGGACAACACCATAGCCAGCGCATCACCATGATACCCCTTCAGAAGAGGGGAGAGCTACTTTATCCCACTTCGCGTGGCCTGCGCGTCTCACTCAACCCCTCATTGAATCTTCATCCTGATCGCGACTAATGCCGTTTTACTTTACAGATTCGTCATAGATACACTCATGGCCGACACAAAACTTACCGACCAGCAGGTCGCTGACCTGAACACCATCCTGCGCGGCGACGGAAGTCTTGACTCGAAGGTCCAATATGTCACAATTATCAAATCGGGCATCAAACAACACAATGTCCCTGAAACGAGCGTCCCCCAGCTTTTCGATGGTTTGCGCGCAGCTACTACCTCGCAGCATGCCGCTCTGGTAAACGCTGGTTTCACTGCCCTGAATCATCTCCTCACACGCCTCTCTCGACAAGACCCCAAGCTCTTATCTAAAGAAGCTGCGCGAACTTTGCCAATTGTCGTCGAGAAGCTCGGCGATCACAAAGACAAGTTCCGTTCCCTCGCTTCGCACTCACTCGTTACTCTATATGCGGTTGCTCCAGCAGATGTCGAACGGTTTGTTCGAAACTCAGCTATGAACGGAAAGAACCCCAGAGCAAAGGAAACCTCCATGAGTTGGCTACTACAAGTAAGTACAACCACACCTGCTGCACCCAATCGGGTGTGCTAACGGAGTACAGATGCATAAGGAGAACGGCCTACCTTTCCGAGGTTACGTCCCTGTACTTATGGAACTTCTCGAGGACGCTGATGGTATGGTACGAGATGCGGCCAAAAATACCGTCATTGAACTTTTCCGAGCCGCGCCAAATGCTGCCAAATCCGATCTTAAGCGACAACTCAAGAACTTCAAGGTACGGCCTGCAATTGAGCAAGCTATCGTCAAGGAGCTTGCTCCAACGTCTGGTCGCCCAGAGACCCCTGCTGCCGAAGCCGCTGCTCCAGCATCTCGTCCAGCTCTTTCGGCCAGTACTTCGTCAGTAGCAGCCGAGCGCCCTATCACTCCGGGAATCGATACAAAGCCAGAAACTCTTGAACCCTTGTACGTCAACACAAACCGCGAGCTCGACGACATATTTAAGGAAATGGCGTGGTTTTTTGAGGGTAAAGAGTCGGAACAGAATTGGCTGAAGCGAGAAAATTCCGTCCATAAACTTCGAAGACTCAACGTGGGCAACGTTCCGTCTGATTTCCCAGATACCTTCCTTGTTGGAGTTAAGAGCATGTTGGATGGTATCATCAAGGCAATTACCTCTTTGAGAACCAGTCTATGCAAGGAGGGTTGTGCTCTTATCCAGGAGATGGCTAATACGTTTGGTCCTGCAATGGACCCCATGGTTGAACTGCTAATGCAATGCTTTGTCAAGCTTGCTGCAGGAACAAAGAAGATCAGCTCTCAGCTTGCCAACGTGACGGTTGATACGATTCTGAGCAAGGTTTCATACACTCCACGCTTGATGCAGCACATCTGGATGGCTTGCCAGGACAAGAACGTTGCGCCGAGAACTTACGCTACAGGCTGGCTCAAGACCATCCTCAAGAAGGAAGCTCAGCACAAGCATCACGTCGAGCATACAGGTGGTGTGGAATTAATCGAGAAGTGCATCAAGAAGGGCCTGGCTGATGCTAACCCTGCTGTAAGAGAGAAGATGCGATCAACATTTTGGGCCTTCTGGGGAATCTGGCCTGCAAAAGCAGATGCGTAAGTTGACTTTACTGCCGTTTCTGTCATTTTTATGGCTAACACGAATTAGCATTATGGCCGATTTGGATGGAACCGCACAGAAACTCTTGAACAAGGACCCTAGCAATCCTCATTCGCCTAAGAAGGGAGAGACGGCTGCACGACCTGGATTGGGATTGTCCAAGAGCACAATGGGCTCTAGCAAGCCAAGTATTCGAGAGGCTATGATGGCTCAACGAAAGGCAAACGCAGCAAAGAACCTCCCAGCTCGACCGGGTTCAGCTATGGCTCACCTTTCGCCCGTGAAAACAACCACTTCCAGCACGTCAACTACAGCAAGCAAACCATCAGGAACCCGAACTCGTCCAGAAACTGGGGGCATGTCAGGTGCTCCAATGCGGCCAGCAAGGAGGCGGCCAGAAATGGCGGCGCGTCCTGCGACGGCGGGCCCCTACTCTGTGCGAGACATGGATGCTGGAAGTCCTGAAAGTATCAGGTCTAAGACACCCAAACCCCGAGAGACCACGCCTAAGAGAACTGCTCCTCGAACACGACCTGGGCATGCATCACATGCTAGTGAATCCAGTCTTGCATCGCCTACGTCCGTGAGGTCAGGCACCAAGCCAGCGGCTTCACCCCGCACGAGTCCTACAAAGTTGAAGCAATCACAATCTGCCATGCTGCCGATGAGCAGCCCCTCAAGGGCAAATGAGGACTTCACTCTTGTTGTTCCAAACATGGCCAATTTGAAGGCTATGCAGAAGCCTGCACCAGAGCCTCATCAAAGGGCTCCTCAGGCTCCTCAAGAGATTCCCTCAGAATTAACCACTCCTGTGCTCGAGGATTCACCACACATTGTTCCACAGGCTACCCAAGAGGCTGCGCCAATCTCAGAGCCAGAGACAACCCTTGAACCAGCGCTTGAAACCTTAGCCCAGCCCGCAGATCAACCTATGGAGGAGATTGCTGAGCCTCATGTGGCCGTCTCAGACCCCGTGGTTGAGCCTACGCCTCAGCCATCAGACTCTATGCCAGCGGAACCTGTTTCAGGAGCACCTGGCTCGACACTGCAAGTGTATGAAGACCCGTTCACTGATGAGCAGCCCTCTCCAAAGCCGACCTTCAACGTTCCTGTGCTGGAAGACAAACCCATCAATGCTGATGCGGCCCACCTGCCCAATGCTCGTGCTCAATCCCCTGTGACGCAAGACGTAGAATTCCCTGAGAGGACAAAGCAAAGCTCACGGCTGCTCGAAAGCGGTATCACCAGGGTCAAGGCAAAGACTCTTGATGTGCATGGATTCCGAAAATTGCAGTCCCTTTTGCGTGATACCAAGGGCATCTTTACCGATGATAAGTTCGAGGCTCTATTGATTGGACTCTTCCAATACCTTGAGGACCCTTTGTCCGGAGTGAGCACCGAAAAGGCTCAGGATATCAAAGCTCAGATCCTTGCTACAATCAGGCTACTCCTCCGAAAGGAACGTGACAACTTCCAGCCTCATGTGTCCAGGGGTCTTGAATCGCTCCTTGAGACACGCAGTGCTTATGATATCCGTGCTCATATTGTCAGTGGCGTTGAGGTCTTGGCTGATGAACTCGTCACTATTGGCGATGGCTCTGAGATTGTTGTTGTCCTGACAAAGCGTCTTCAAAATGTTGATAGCTCTACTGCTGAGGGCAGCCGTATGCTCAGCACCGGAATGCACGTGTTGCGAAGCCTGCTTGACAAGAGACCCAACTTTGTCCCTACTAATACTGAACTGGGTCAACTGGCTAGTCTTGCCGGTCGATGCCTTGTTTCTACAGACTCTGGTGTTCGTATGGATGCTGTCCAGCTTTGCGTTGCTCTGCACTCAAGGGTAGGTGAGCAGGTCTTCTGGAATGCCCTGAAGGATGTTCAGGATGACCCCAAGAGCTTGATTACCTACTACATTGTCAAGAGACAGCGGGAGCAGACTCCTACAATTGCTGCCTAAGGAAACATGGTGGCTCTAAGCAATCATCAGATGGAGTTAAGGAGACATTTCATAGGTCAGGCGTCGGTTGCCGGAATTTCATTAGGGGCGGATGGTATGGTATAATGGTACGGGATGGCGATGTCAAAAGCAAGGGCGAGTCATAAAAGGTGTCAAGTTTCACTTCCATGATGCACTGGCGGCAAAATCGACGTGTTTGGTTTCACATTCTTGAGTTGTGGCTATTGAATAGTCTAGTTGCTATGCTTTAATGCCCTGAGTTGCTTGTACGTTTGTACATTTAGCTATTTGTAATTACTTGCACATTTTATATACGAGACATTGGCCATTGCTTGTTTAGCACAACTTTAACATTATGAGTCTTTGATGCCCGAAGAATATATATATATACATACATAGTGTACATATATTGGACTAGAAATGAGGAAACATCTGAACCCATGCTGGTGATATATACACTCCAGCAGGAGAGTGTCTCAAACTGAAAAAGGACTCGAAAACAACATAAACTCTGGCAGCCATGTAGACAAACAAGGCAAGCCAGAATGCGACATAAGTCAGTAGCCAAGTTGTTCCATCAGTCCTCACAGCTGTAGCGAGTACTGCCATGACGAAGTACAACACCAACGCACCCGCAATATAGAGACAACTTATCTTCCACATCAGATGCTCGACATAGTTGGGAAAGGTCCAGTTCCATGCTGACAGATGAACGCCGCCATAGATGCCGGACAGAAGCAGCGCAAGACCAGCGAGCCACGGGAATTGCTGGAAGAAGCCCAGAAGGCCAAAGACCCCTTCACTTTCTGTGAAGACGCTGAAGTTGATATTCAGGTTTCTTTTGCCTTCGCTGAAAGGCATGGTTCTGTACGCAGGGTCGAGAACTGGCTTGAACTCTGGTAGTCGAGCGAGGAAGAGATCTTGGCCAGCTTGAGGTCCAGCATCATCTTGGGGACTTATCATCTCAAAGTCCCAGGCGATGCGATTCACCTTGACAAAACTCGCTGTTTTGAGAAGGGCCTCGCGGTCGTGGAATGGAAAGGTTGACAAGATGGCGTCCCAGCGATTGAGGAACTGCTCTGATAGTACAAGAGGTATATGTGCAAACTCTGAGTGATATAAGAGTCCAGAGGGTAGGATATCTCCAGGCCACATCTGCAGCCCTGGCTCTGGCTTTACCCAAGGCCCTGATCGTGGATTCGCCCAGGTATCAGGTAGTCTTTCATACGCCGGAGGTCTTGCTAATCTTCGCATCCAAGACCAACCTATCCAGTTTCGAGAGGATGACTCGGGAGTTTCTTCAAGAAGTTGCATCTCTTCTACTCTTGAGACATCATGAAAGTTAATTCTAAAAGGTTTCGGTGTGACCCAGTCTGGCTGCATCAAGCTGCGCTTCCTTAGAGGAGGCGGTTGGTCTGGATGTTGTTGAGGGAACAATGCCAGTCTCGTTGACATGTTGGGGTAGAATTGCCGTTGAACCAAGAGAGCTACATCCTCTTTAAAATCTCCTGGGTTTATAATCTCAGGATCCAAGACATTCAGAGGTTTCTGGTATTGATATTAGTCAATAATCAACCTCGAGGCACATTCAACATACCCTAAACCAACACAAGTAAAGAAATATCGCACACACATGAACCATAGTGTGAACCTCTAACGAGCTGAGAGGCAGGTTCTTGATCTTCCTCGCAATGCATTGCATGACCATCCATATGACCTGCATGAGCACCAGGATCTTCTGGAAGTAATCTGCTTTACTTTTGTCGTCGATCTTCTTTGATATCGGGATCCAGTGCCCTCTCTCCGCAAGGCAGGTCACCGTTCGTGGGCTCAAGCGTACTGAATATGGTCGTTCCATTGATTCGAACAACCGAAAAGCCTTGTTATGAAGATCGGGGAAGGACAGGATATCGTCGATGTTGACTCGAACACGTACCGAACCAGGCTGAGGCTGAGTAAACAGAATCTATAAATATTAGCTGCAGGCTCAGGTGTTGGTTGGCCAAGACACTAGATTTGGAGATTGATAGACATGCTTCCCCTCTTCTCCTGCAGTTGAGTAATGTATGACATCGCGCCTTCAATATGATAGGTAGGGGTAGTTGCGTGGGATATATACGATCAATAGTCTTGGATAATATGGTGTTGATATATGTTACAAACCCGACAAAACTGGCATCAACAAGGGCATGAAAGAGATACAACCATCACCCTCATCAGAGAGCATGAAGAGTATAAAGAGCCGTCCTACCGAAAAAGAATCTCTGACCCCTTTTCATCAACGTACAAAGATAACCAATACTCCCCCCTGCCTGCCGTAAACCATCCTCAAACCACCATCACCAAAGGCACAAGAAATTTGCCAAAGTAGCCACAGCCAAGCAAACAAATAAGCGTGAGAGAAAAAGAATTGGATATCATTAAATGTCCTGGCACAAAAAACGCCCTGCGGGTTGGATGACATATGCAAGCAAACCCAGCCTGGGAGCTTGAAAATCCAACAGTGCCCGAGTAATCTTTTCATGACAACCTAGATCGTGTTCGTTCGTTGGGAGCGAAGCCCAAGAATCCATGACTCGGAGGTCTCGTTAAAAAGTTGATACAGTCTTCATAAGTCCTTTCCGTATAGAGATCTCGAGCTCCCTAAGCATCCTCGAAAATCGTGTTACTGTTCTCAATGACAAACTGTATCGCAAGGTTCTTTGCGTGCATGTCCGTCATCTCGCGCTCAAGGCTCGTGTCACGCATGATGGTAGGCGCAAACACTACAGCCAAGTTCTTGGGAGACATCTGATACCGTTGTTAGTGATTATAGATGATAAGAACAACAGTGAAGGCAACATACCAAGTTCTCGGGTTCACGTTGAGCAACGCGTGCAAGATGGAACATGAGGAATTCAAGACAATCACGATGCCTTTGGGGCATCGAAGCAAACGTCTTGCGTAGGTGATCGCTTCGTTCCGTTTCATCGACAATAGCTGTAGACTATTAGTATGCTGTCATCGGACAAGTCATGAACAAACTCACCATTTGATTCAAGAACTCGCTCATACACGTCAAACGTGAGCAAGGGAATAGGAAGTTTGCGGAAGTATTGCTTCAGCACACTCGTAACAGCAGTGATATCCAGATCAGGGTCTGAGATGTCAAAGTTCTCATCCTTGCTGAAGCCATCCTTGATCATGTTGACCTGAGAGTTACCACCAGTCTTTCGGTAGATACCCTCTTGGTCCATTCCTCTTAGTTCAACCTCTTCGATACATCTTGTGACCACACTGGGAATCTGCCGGCGCTCATGGTCGGCTCGCTCTGCGAGATCAGATCCAAAGAGAACCGTGGCAGGCTCAGCTGCGTCAACGTTGTTCATAGTACCTGCAGAGCCAGACTTGGGCATGGCGTTCTTCTTGCCGAAGAATCCAAAGCCTTGTCGTTCACGTTCACGCTCCTCTTGTCTCTTGGTTAGCGCTGCAGCTGCACTGTGCTTGTCATGCGAGTTAACGCCGTTAGGAGGTCCAGCAGGCGCTTCGACTTGGGCCACAGTCATATTGTAAGGCATTCCAATGTTCTCTCCGCTCAGCTGGCCTTGTTGCTGCATCCTCTCACGGTCGTTCTGGAATGCGACGACGGCTCTGTTGACGCCCTTGGCAACACCTTGGGCCAATCCCTTGGAGCCCTTCTTCCAGTTGAACTTCTTGGCTTGACCCTTTCGGACTTGAACCACAGTTGGTCCGGCTTCGACGATGGGCTCTTCATCAGCAGGAACCAGAGTAGCACCAGTTGAGAGACTAGCAGCGTCGAGGTTGAGGGAAGAGTTGTTCAGACCACCCTTGCCTGGTCCATAAATACCCAGACCTCCAGGAGACTTGATATCTCCTCCAATTTGAGACTTGAAGCGTTCCTGGATCTGATGTGTCAAGTCGTTATTCATATCAGCAAGCTGTGCATTCTTTGACGACAACTGCTCGAATTCAAGCAGGGCACGGTCTCGATCGGCGATAGCTTGATCCTTCTCCTCAAACAACAGATCCCGCTCTTCGTGCAGCTGCTCGATTGCGGCTGACATGGTCTGCTTGACCTTGTCAAGCTTCTGAACAAACTCCTTGATTGCTGAATCCTCAAGATCCCGGGGATCAATAGGTGTCTTGGTCTCCTTTGCACGCTCGACATATCCGGCCAAGACCTCCAGCTGTCGAATCATAATCTCAGTCTGGGTATCAAGAACGGAAACTGTCTTTCGTTTTTCGACTAGCTTCTTGTTAAGGCTCTTGAGATCCTTCTCAGTAGTAAACTGCCTCTCGAGCTCCGCAACTCGCTGCTCCGAGTTCCGTAGTTGCCGCTTAAGGAACGCAGGATCGTCACCTGACGCCAAGGACATGGGGCTGCTGATCTCCTGTGCATGATAATCGTCGGCAACTGGTGTTCGGGGCCAGCGAGGTGACTGTGTCGCCCGTGTAGTCTCGCTAATGCTTCTGGCATGACCAGCTCTGTTTGACAGCTGGTTTGGTGACTCCACGCTATTGGTGCGCCCATGCCTGACAGCGTTGGAAACTCTGCGGAGAATGGAAGTTGAGCCTTCATCTGTACCTAGGATACGCGCCATGTCCTCGTCCAGACTAAAGTCACCACCGCTGCTCCATCTAGGCAACTTTGGTGAGACCTTGGGTGAACTACCGTCGTCCTTCGACTCCTTGCCAGTAGGATGGCTCTTGTTGTTCTGAGAGGCGGGAGGAATGGGAGCCGAACGGGGCTGCATATAAGAATCGGTTGTCTTCTTTTGAGTGGGAGTTTGGCGAGTGGGTGTAGGATCATCAGTGGTATCTTGCCGGTTTTGTCGATTGTTGCCATTAACTAACTTTTGTCAGAGTCTGTCAGTCTCACTTTTGCTTAAGCGAAAACTTACCATTACGTCCTGAAGCAGTTGGAACCTCCTTTCGCGCAAGAGGCTTTGCGTTCTCTGGTCTTGAAGATGTTCTGGTTGACGAGTCCATAGATGCGCGAAGCTCGTCCTCATCCATATACCTCGACTCCTGGGATGAGCGTGACGCAGGTGTGGTGGCGTTGCTATCAGTGTGTGGCAGACCACCCTTACTTGGTCCGTTGCTAGTTCTCGCAGAGTTCGTCTCCGCAGGTATACTTGAGGACTGTGAGCTACTCCTTGAGAGAAGCTTCTTGCTCTTGGGAGCCTCCTGCAACTTGAAGTCCTCCGTAGGTGCGCGGCGGCCGCTTGTTTTCTGGCTCTTCTCGTCGGTAGCAGGCGAGCGTTTACTGGAATCGGTTCGCGAATTCTTAGAATGCTTGCGATCAGGAAGCTTTGGTGCAACGTCGTGCTCTGAATAAGATGGTTGACGTCCTTTCTCCTGGAAAGCAATATGTGGCGTAGAGGTATGAGAGTCGCTTCGCTTCTCAGACGCTGGTTTTGCCGTGCTGAAATAGTCCTTCGACTTGGCCGACTCTGGTAGATTATCTGAAGTTGATTTCGGAGTTGGGTGTGGGCTTGGGTCTAAAGCAACCGAAATCAGGAAGCTATCGGCATCGTTAGAAGTATTGTCGTTCCGGGTCATCATGGTTGAGTTTCGGTTGCTTCGATATGTTGTAGCAGGCAAACTTAAACCGTCAGGCTTTCTTTCAGGAGAACGAGCTGGCCTGGAACTGCTCCTAGATGACGACTCGTTACGGCCGTGATTTCGTGGACGAGGGGAGAGCTCTGTAGCAGTATCTGAATCAGGATCGACCCGATCGTTGGAAAAGGCATTCGGTGGAATGGCGTTGGCGGGAAGAGCGGGCAGTGACTTTTCCGTGATCATAGGTGAATGCTCTTTTTCTCTTGCTTTCGCTGCCGCTGCAGCTTTGGATTTTTTCCTTCGTCGTGCCATCAGTGTTTCGTGGCAGCCCATGCAGAAGATGCCTTGTGAAGTCCGGGCATATCGTAGGTTTTCGATTTTGCGTTTGCAGTTGCGACAGCGGAAACATGTAGCACAAAACGCCTGCTCCCCAGTCAAGATGGCTAGGTCTTCAATCTTATTGCCGCAGGCGCTGCAGCTATATGTGCAGTTGTTGCAGATGAGCGATCCATCTCCGAGAAGCAGTAGGTTCGCATCAGAGTCGAGCAGTGTGCCACAGGTATTACATCGAAAACAGTCCAGATGCCATCGGTTACCGGCTGTCAAAAAGTCAGCTTGCCTCAGGATATGGCGGGATGATTTGCAATCTTGCGGTGAGGTGCAGATGATCATCGCGAATCACCGTGACACATCCCGCTAGACCAGCTAATCCTGAAAATTGTAACGTACCTAATTCGAAGGCTTTTCCTTCTTCGAGGATCTTCCGAGCCTGTTAGCAAACCATTCCTAATGTTCCATAGGTCGGGTAGAACAGCATACCTCTCCGCAACCTTTACAGGGGAAGACATCGTCGGTGTCATTGTCCATTCCAGGACTCTCCAAGTAATCCTCCACGATACCAGCCATTGTGGGCAGTTGTGTTGTGAAGCAGCAAAGATTTGTCTTGTAACTTGGGGTGAAGCGATCGGAATGTGGTGCTCACGGCGGATACGGCGTTCAAGTATGGGGTTGTTGCAGCCCAAGGTAGCAAGCGACACGACGCAACTAAAGAGCAGGCGTCATGGACGAGGTCGTAGCGGAGAGCAAAGGGGTCGGTCGGACCAAGAATCGCGGAGGAACTCGTGTGAGAATCGACGTAAAAAGGACGTTGTTGAAGCGGTCGGTGGGCGGTCGAATCGAAACGGGGTAGCAATATTTTGCTGATAGCTGTCGCACGGTAGTGCCCCTACTGTGAGGGCAACTGATAAGAACTTTGAATGGAGTTCAAAAGTCAGGAAGCAATGAACAGCCCAGCAAAGGTCAGGGTAAGGTCAAGCCCAAGCCAGCAGACAGTGAGAGAAGTCGACGGAGCCAGGCCAGGGGGCGTGTGGAGGGTTTGATGAGGACAAGGGCCTGGGTGTAGAAACGGACCAGGGGCCTCTAACGATGGATTCGCTAGAGGAACGTCGGCCAGGTTGGAGATGAACAATGCAGAAGGTTGTATTCGCAGATTCGACGCAGGAGGAAAAAGAAGCGAATGAATCTCTACGAGAGAGAGAAGCTAAGCTAAGCGATGGATGATGGGCGTTGTGTTGTTACGGAGGACTGTGTCCTGTTCGATGGGATCGGCGTATAACGGACAGACCTGAGCTAAGTGTAAGATGGCGATGGAAGCAAAGATGATGATGAATTCGGCGAAAGAAAGAGGACGTAACAGAAGGGATGACAAAGAGGTTTCGTTGAGACTCAGGTCAGGTCAAGTTCAGCACAGCAGCATAACACAGCACACAATACGACACAACAAATGGAAGGCAAGAAAGACAGCAGAGCAATCTGATCCGGATATGTCGTGGTCCTGGTTCACCCAAGGAGACTGAGAGGAATGAATGGAGACGGACGTCTAGTGAGGTGGGATCCGAATGTGGATGGGATGAACAGCCACTGAAGGGGAGTCCCCAGCCCCAGGGCAGCCCAGGCAGTGGGCAGTGGGCAGTGGGCCAACCCAGGGGATCATCCACTAAACCTGGCAGGGAACAGAGGCAGCGAGAGGGGTTACAGCTTAGGTTCAAGGGGAGAGCCCGCCCGTGGAGGGGAGGGGACCTTGGACCAACGCGCTAAACGGCCCCTAGTTAGTCGTGCCAGGCCTGGGCGGGTTTAGCAGCTCTGACCTGTGTTCTCCAGCCCGTCTCGCGATGGAGTATGTCCATCTGTCAAGAAGAAGTGTCAATCAAAGGGAATTGATGAGCGGTCGGACTTCTACGCTGAAAGAGCAGGGATTGGTACTACCAGTATATCAGGGGCTAATCTCTAGTACTGTACACGCAGCTTCACACAGGATTCGAATTGAGTGTTCGCCGATATGTTTGTCAAATACGTTGCTTGTCTCACCCAACTTTTATCTGATAAACATCCGACGAAGAAGCTCACAACCTTCACATGCTTGGGTCTGGTTGAATTGGATATTTTAACTTTGACCTGCTTTACAGCCTAAGTTGAATCATAATTCCTGCAAATGCGATATGTTCAGAACTTTAGAGCTGTCCCTGCCACTTCACGATTCAATGCGCGGCTATAACAGGGAGAATGTTATTGGAATGATATTGGCCCACGTCTCAGCAACCGCCGTGTCGGAAGATACTGTAGGACTCTTGATCAGGGTCTTTTTTTCAATTGGGAGCTGACGAATTGCATACGTTGTCTATGACTACGGATCGTTTATCTGACTGAGAATTAGTTCGAGTCTTGGTGAATAAGGGGCGTTCTAGTACTCATATACCGATGCTGTAGATGTGAAGTATAGTGACCATGCTGAGTCTGAATACAAGGTATGCAGATTCACTATTGGGCATCAATGGTATCTTATCCGTTCAGAGAAGATACAGAATTGGACATGATTGACAACCTCTAACAATTATGCCCATCACCAAAACTCACCTCAAAGGCTCAAATTCGTTCAATCTCCCTCTCATCTCCAACCCAAAGACGGTCTTCAAACTGACACCCACCACCTGCAGAGATGCCTTGGCTAGCGTATGCCGCTAGACGCAAAGACCCAGGGGCAACAAGCCAGGCCCAGGGGAACACAAAGCAAGCTTTTCTGGCTGAAGGAAGAAGAGGCACACACACACGCACGCACGCGATGTTCACGGAAAAGCCAATGCAGCAAAGAGTCGCCTGTGGCGGCCGCGGCTGGTTATGGATGGACTGGACATTCATGGGGATCGAACTTGTCCTTCTCCACAGTGTCGATCCGATGACATGAACCCCGTCTGCAACAGTAAAGGCCGCTGACGAGACATTGCTTTTGTCAGATATGGAATTCACAGTATGGACAGTCTGTATGGATACAAGCTCTGAGAAGGGTTCGTGAAGCTAGGGAAAGCTGTCGAGACACAATCCACTGACCTCCACTGCAGCTATGGAATGAAGGGAATTTCATAGAGTTGTGGCAAAAACCAAAGCTTCCTTCAACCGTCAAAACCTACAGCGCCTTATTAGGGTTGTGTTGTGTTGCACAAAACGGACACCCGCTTAAACACGATGTGAACCTCAACGCAGCTGCAAGCAGCCATATCGTTGAATTAGGTTCAGTGCATATGTATGTCTTTGTTCATTAATGGCAAAGCAAAGCAAGGGTGTGCATACAAGGCAAAAAGACGGTAAAGCTCGTGTCGTGTTGTGCCGTTCTGATAAAAGCTCCGCTGTTTCAGACAGAGTGATTTTCCCTCTCAGCCTTTGCGTAAGGCATTGACGAAACGCACATCATGAAACGTGTAATGGGATGAGAGGATTTACTCCCTTGTACTCGGTAGAATATGGATGAATGTCAGTCATGCGAGTTGAGTGTGCTCCCCATTTTGAGGGTAACATAACGTTAGTTGGCCTTTTACCATTGTTTGCTCAGTTGCTGATATTAGTGTTGTGCTGTATCTATTTTGGGTTCCTTCATAAGCCAGACTCTCCTTTCCCTTGTCCAATCCATCATGAAACCCACGACCCTGAGAATATATTTGATGCACGTGTCAGAAAGGGGTATAGTCAAGTGGACATGATTGCATGGATCGGTTTCGTGAGCGGGGGTCCTCTTGATATTGACTGGAGCATGTCACGACCACGTCCCTGGAACTTCAATCTCCCCATGAGACGAGACCTCTTTGTTCAGTGAGTAAAGTAACATTGAACCCATGGCTGACAAGCATAAGCATTACACTCTCAGCCTTGAACGTTGCCATTACTACTTACGGAAACCTTCATCTGCAACCCTCAAGATACACAGTCTCGTGGCGGATAGATTCATCAGTTCGACTCGATGTGACATGCCTGACTGATCTTCTCTTCCTTGGGTCCGATGACTTCCTTTGACAGCTGACGAGGCATATCTTGAAACCCCAGCTCCATCACCATCGCTTGTTTCAAGTTGTCAACTCTTCAACTCTTGGGCCACTTTTTCGCTCTTCTTTCCCATTCTAGCATATTTCGCTCTACTTCCGAACGCCATTGTCCTCTCATTACAAAGCCACGTAGCTTAGAACTACTGTACTTGTGCAGTATTAGCCGATAACACAGAGTTTCATGTTTGATCGTCGTCGTACCCTGCGGCAGCTTGAACATAACGTTTATCTATCCGTCACTGGTAAGCGCGCCGGTAACTTACACCGGATCACCATATTCGATCTGACAGATGTAACGTTGATACCAAAGCAGGAATAGGTATATGATCACTTATATATGTTGCTAAAACCGACAAGCTTTCGGTTTTAACACTACCAAGGGTAACTTGCCGTATGTCACCGCCAAGTTGTAGGGGCTGCTGGCTGGACTGTTTCAAAACCTGGAGCTGTCACTGATGGTGACAGTCATCAGCCCGCATACATATGCTCGCAAGCTAGTCCTTGTTAGATGACTGTATCATTGTATTCCAAATTGTTGATGGTCGAGGCACGGGTATAGAACAAAGTTTGGATGAAGCATCTCGAACTTGGGAGTGTCTCGCCATGTCTTCTTTCGAAACTTTGTATTAGTGAAAATGGTACCAAATGAGAGGCCAAGAGTTTTCAAAAGCCAATAAGAGAGATTCACACGGACTCGATCTTGTCAAGTTGCGACAAACTCGGTCATGGTCAACCATTGGTGGTTCGACTTTAGAATTCGATATCATCGTCGGCCGCCGATATTACATGGGGCAGCCTAGTAATAGCAAGCATATATCAAGATCGGAAGTGTTGCTTGACACGGCCTCGCCGTGGCCTTTCTGCAGGTACCGATCATCCTCATACCGATGATCATGCAACGACTTCTGCACTGGCCTGTCTAGCCAGTCTCATACCGCACTGGAACCAAGAAGAGCACCTCAAAGCTCGTTATGATCTGACCTTAGAATGATTTGATTATAGCGGTCATATGGTATCAAACTTGTATGTCAACTTTTGTCTAATCCGATAACAGAACCTCTGAACGCCCTCAACGCAGAACCCATGCTAGGCTGACCCATCCTTCACATCAGCTCTCACTTCTCAGCAACAAGCTTCCTGACCTTATCCAACAATAAAGAACTCTCCCTGCCAAGTTTCTTGTTTCCATTACGATCCCTAGTCTTAGCCATCGCCTTCTTGAACTTTTCCCTCTCAGCAATCTTCTGCTCCCTCTCTTCCCGTCTGCGCTCAAACTCCCGCCGCTTCATCTCAGCCTCCTCCTGGCGCTGTGCTGCTTTGGCGAGCTGCTTGTCGTAGTAGCCTGGTCGTCTGGTTCGCCGTCTGTTGCCATCACTATTGGGCTCACCGACAGAGTTCTCCTGGGCCTTGGCTTCATCTGCCAGCATGAGCTGTCGCGTGGGATGCATCTCTTCGCCTTCTTCCTCAGGCTGCTTCTCCTCGCTGGCGTCTTCTACGGGAGCCTCATCTTGGACTGGCTCGCTCGTCTTTGGTGCAGGCGCATTTTGTTGCTCACGAGCTTTGATCTTTGCATAAGCCTTCTTGACCTTTGCCTTGTGAATCAACTCCTTCTTGACTTTTGTGACTGTGGTTGAATGTGAGTATGTGAAGTGAATGAAAATTTTCAATGGGAAACAGGAGAAAGGACAAACCTTTTCTTCGCCAAGGACCATCTGGCAAGTTCTCTGGACCGACTCTGAAGCCGTGCTTGGGCTTCTTTGCCTCTGGAGCAGTATCGCCGCCTTCGTTTTGATGTTTGGGAGCCATGATTGTGGCTTTGTAAGTGTATGAGGATTGTCGTTGATGAGAATTGAGAAATGTCTCCACTGTCTTCGGTGAAGGAGTGGGTCTGTTGCTGACCGTGACCGACACCGTAATTAACGGCACTTTTAATTTTTAGGTCGGTTTTCGGAGAGTTTCGGTGGAGCTGTGCCATAATCTGATCAACCAAAAGTCAACAGGAGCTCACACGACTTATGCACTGTTGAACTGAACCCAACTGGACTGTTTTGTTTATTTGTTGTGTAACTGACTCAAACGAATACGGTTTAGGGACATAATTGGTCTATAGTTGTAAGTGGGCTGATGGAGGAGATGCTGGTACAACTGTTTCTGGTTGAGGATGCATTGCCAGGTCACACAAGAGAGAGTTTATACTACGTAAAATCGGATGAATGGCTGATTTATGATTGTTGAGCTTCCTATAGAGCCCATCAATAATAAGGCACAGCACAGCTTGTCTCAGTGTTATCCTCAAAGGTACTGCCTCTGTTGCAGGTGTTGTTCTACACGTCAACTGTGCATCACCCATCACACGATTCCAGCCAATGCATGTCAGGGATCCTTCCAACGGCGCTAAACATCAGGTATCCGCAAGGGACGTGAGCACTGTAGATTAGCGTGGGTGAAAAGTTTCTTTTTCTGCTGTGCCTTGTGAGCAATAAGTTGAGATGCTTCATCAGAGACCAAGCCAAAAACGTCGTTAGTTGGATGTGGCATATCTGGGGCTGTAGGTCACTTGATAGAGTGTTGAAGATGTGAATATCAAGACATGAACAAACTATAGTAGAATATCAGCTCACGTTGAAGTACTCGGTATATAACGAGAGATTCAAGAAATGTTGTTTAAACAAACAACTCCTCTATCTATAAAGGCATCAAGGTACATTACTTCCTTGTTAATCTTTGTTCTAGCGTTAGACTTAGCGAATGATTCACACATTCACCGCCATCGGCCCCAGTTGGTGATAGAATTAACGTCGTATCATAACTGTTTGTACCCGGACGGACCTAAACCTAGACCCTGTTGATTTCTGCCCGCCTCATCTCTCTGACTCTCTCTAAACTTATGACCTCTCTCTCTCAACACGGCAGGTCAACAACTCCCGTGATCATTTCATTTCGTCTACTTATTAACCCATCTCCTGCTCTGTAAACGTCTTCATCCTCTAGCTCTTCCGGGGGAAGACGGGACCGCTCCAGACTCACTCCATCGTCAGTGTAACTGGCGTCATATTCGGTGGATGACGTCCCACGATACGATCCCAGATTCCCCATATTCATACTCAGATTCGCATTCTCTCGACCCACGCCGTGCCTGGCTACTGCTCTAATCGTTTTCATCGCATGATACATTATATCCACATCTCTCGGCTCATTAATCAGACCCTTCCTCTACCTTAGCCACGCCCGTTAAATGACAGTATCAGCAACTCTAAAATCCCTGCATTGAATCACCGATTACCTTTTATAACACCACCTCTCGGCTCTTTCGTCTGCTTTATTCATGACGGATTCCACCCAGAAACTGTACGGCTGCTGTTACAGCTATTCAACATCGCCGTCATGCCTATCTTTCAAGCCGACTTAGACAATCACGAATCTATTGAGCCAGCAGCACCTATTGAAGTCGAGGTGACACCCCCAGCTCCGACGCTTAGACGTCTTTCAGAGGAGAGCATTCGAACCGAACTTTGCGAAGGGCCTATCTTTGAGAGTCCACCACAATCAAATACCAACAGCCCAGAGAGAACCGATGGCGCTGAAAATGGGATATCGGATCGAGCTTCTTTAATCGAGAGGCTAAAGAGAGCCCAGTCTCCGACCTGGATCCCAAATCGTCATGTGCGTTGTTCCATTTCTTTGTTGCAATATCCAAATTCTAACAGTCTCACAGTTTGACTCTATTATTCAGCACCACGCTCCTCCTCTTCCTCCTCCTCCTCCTCCCGAGACACAGCGACCTCGATCGCCCTCCGGACCTTCACTACTTGCGCCTGCCCAAATAACACCCGAAAAGAACGACTCCCAATCCGATTTCGACAACAGGTTACGCGATGGCCTCAGCATCGAGCGACCGAGATCGGCCCTACACAGCGGTAACTTCACCGAAGAGGAAGCTGTAGCTAAGGATCGTGCGCCTCCAACAAGTAGATATCCTGCACCAACAGAGAGCTCATGGATTGCAACTTCACCACCGAGACACTATACGCCGTTCCAGCACGATAAAGGAATCCCTTTTACAGGGAGTGCAGAGAGTTTCCGATCAACCACATCGCCTCTATCTTCCTCGCTCTCCTCAAGCTTTGTGTATAAGCCACCTACTAGTCCTTTGGTTCAAGCTCAGAGCTCAGAAGAACACGACATGTCTATACCGAGAGATGGATTTGGATATACTGGGAACAGTCGCTACATGCCAAACTCAGCTTCCTCCTCACCATGGATGTCTCCATCGCCAAGATATTCTCTACCACAACGTGTGCCTTCGTATCGAAGAGAAGCATTCCCATATCAGGCGCATCAACCTCGAAGATCTTTGACCTCGACGCCAAGTTTCATGCAAGCTGGTGCTTCACCACCAACACCTGCTCTTCTTCGCCCTCGGAGGTGCTCTTTAGTTGCAGAGGCCTCGCCGCTTCAGCACGCATCTATGGTTGGATCTTATGAAGAGAGTATTCTTCGTGGTCGCATGTCTACGACCCCTTCTAAGCCGCTGGACTTTGTTGCTCAGATCGGCGTCTTGGGCAAGGGAAAATGCAAGTCTAGTCTGAAATGCCCGCCACATGTTACTCTTTCATTTCCTGCTGTATATTACAGCTACAGCAGCACCTCACATGGTCGATCAAACACGGACGATGGGCCGAGTCCCTATGTTGGTCAAATTGATCTTGAAAACGGTCTTCCTAACCCTGATGATGAGCATCGGGCGAAGAAGAAAGCGCAAAGTCGATTTGCAGACAGGAAGCCCATCGAAGACATGATGGATATCGGTCTTGACAATCAAGGATCTGAACAAATTTCACGCCGAAATTCTCGAGCCAGCCGCAGGTCCGGTTCTGGCTCCGCGAAAGCCCCTCCAGGCGGAAGCTATCGTATTCCGGAGAAGGGGCAGATCCAAATCATTGTCAAGAATCCGAACAAAACTGCCGTCAAGTTGTTCCTGATTCCTTATGACCTAACAGGCATGGAACCAGGTACCAAGACTTTTGTACGGCAGCGCAGCTACTCGGCTGGTCCCATTATTGATCACGCACCAGTGACATCCGAAGCAAACACCGGTGACCGTCCTATCTTGAGATATCTCGCTCACCTGCACATTTGCTGCCCTGCCAAAGGTCGGTATTACCTCTACAAGAGCATCCGCATTGTCTTTGCAAACCGTGTACCCGACGGCAAGGAGAAACTCAGAAACGAAACAACATGGCCGGAGCCTCGCTACACTCCTTACAAGCCCATTCGTCTGATGCATCCTCCGCTGCCTGCACAGTCTGGCCCTGGAGCTATGCTAGCCGCTGAAAAGGCTCTTCGCAGACGTAGCGTAGGGATCTTCCCGGGCCCTTCGTCTCAGGCTTTCGATGCCATGGAGAACATGTTTCGAGTTCACGATTCTCCTACTAGCAGCTCTGCAGCGGGTAACACCTTGCCACTTGACCCGATTCCTTTCTATCTTCCCGGTCGCGTCCGAACTAGCAGCGATGTTAGTAACAGCACAAGCACAACTGCCGCTCTTGGCAACGACATGCGTTCTCCTGGCTCGTCTCAAGCCGGTCGTCCTTCGACCAAGGACTCGACCAATGGTTCACCTTCCGGACCAGCTCTATATGAGAAGCTGAACAAAGGTGAGCCTGGATACGGCGGCAATGCATTCGCTCTCAACAGGTCTGGATCACTTGGTGGTGCTGAAGGCTTGCTCTCCCAGCGCTTGCGTTCTCTGGGGGTGAAGCAACCGTCACCTCCAGAGACACCCAACCGGGGTGACATGTCTCCTTAGACAAAAGTCATTAAGTAATTGCATGTTTCAGCATGCTTTCCGTACATAAAATGCCCTCATTAGAAGGGCTATTATTATAACCAATCATCTGTATATTGGGATATAGAGGGCATCGGTTGCCCTGGATGGCGTTTTTCTTCCCTGTCTAATCATCGGATTGGATCAAAGGAACCTGGTCAGGAGTTATATTGCTTTGAGGCGTTTGGTGTATCTCGATACCAGGCAAAGTTTCAATAGAAGGTCTAGATAGTCAATTGAATCTCTACACACTACACAGCTCTCATATCCTGTAATCGTCATAAAAGAGCCAGCCAGAAAGTGATAATGTTTTGAACTTGACAATGATTCATTGTTGGTCATGACTTCAATTTTCTATTATACAAAAATAGTAGAAATTTTGGGTTTTATACACATAAATCTGTTATACATGATCAATCATCAAACATCTGTCTCCTCAGCTTCTCTACTTGCTGCTTCACTCTTTTGTGGCGTCGTTCTGCTTTATGGGCCCAAGTCTTGTCTCCATGATGATTCTCTTTCGAGTATGGCTTTTTCGGCCGCTCCTCACCGTGTTGCCTCTGGTCATAACGATCCCAGAATGCATTCCAGTAGCTGAAGCGATGGCGGGCGACCTGATCGTCTGGTTTCTCAGATCCCATGGCCTTTGCTTCGATTGTGACGTCGCCTGGTGTATCAGCAATTTTGAGCGCTTGGTTCAGCTCAAAGTTCGCATTTCGTTGAGAATGCCACATAGCAGCATATCGTCGAACTCTGTTGTGCAACATCTCCTTCCATGTCTTGCGGTCGATTACTTCCAGGGGCTCAGATGCAACTCCAAGATTCGACTCACGCTTCCTCTCTTTCTGCAACTCTCGGAGCAGAGTCTCCTTGACTTTCAGTAGAGCATGGTAAGACAGACTCTGAAATACTTTGTCAAGTTCTCCAGGCGAAACTTCTTTACCATTCACTACATATGCCGTAGGCATCGACTGAATCTCCGATGTGGTAAAAGCATGGTGTAGACGAGGGTACTTCTCCTCGACAGTGGATAGCACACGAGAGACATCTCCAGACCAGGCTGCCATCTTACGCATCTCTATCCACTTATGCTGCAGACGGAAGAGAAGGCTGTTGGGAGGCTTCAGGGTACGGGTATTTCGCATCAAACGCGGTATGGGTCGAGGGGGTGCCCAGCCTTGCCACCCTGGCATGAGCATCTTCTCGCACCAGTACAGTGCACGCTCAAATCTGCCCATATCAGAAAGATCACGGACAATGCGTACCCAGTTTTGTCGGGTCAGCTTGAAACCAGCCTCCGTAACCTTGTCGACGGTCTTGCTAAGACTTTCTGGATCGTTTATCTCCTTATATGTCATTGCCACTGCGTCTAAAGCACGAGACAGGGAGTACTCGGTACCAGGCATTATACCATCACCTGAGCGTTTCCGGCTAGATGCATGGACACTTTGCCACGTCTTCTCCCACAGCTCAACGGCCTTGTCGTAGTTCTGATCTGCGTGATGTGCGCGTATCAAAGCAGACATAATATCAGGAGGAAACTGCTCGGTCTTGAACTCAGGGAAGACTTCGACGAATAAACTCATCAGCTCTTCAACGGAGGCAAAGTCTCGAAGCTCGGTAAGTAGAGTGATCGCTCGACCGACCAGTTTAGTTTCTCCCCTGAGTCTTGCGAGATTGCTAGAATCAGTTGGATCAGTCTCCTCGTCCGGCACGGACTCCCCCGTCGTTTTAGCTGCCTCAGAAGCCTTTTGGAAATATGCGACAAATTCTTTGGCCAGATCGTGGGTTCGTTCAACACCTGGCTTTCTCTTAACGGCAGCGCCGACCAGAGCAACCCAAGCACTGAAGGTGACAGGCAAATCTGACTCTTGCAGTCGACGGAAAAGACTTTCAACAAGCTCGTACTCTCCAACACGAGCAGCTCCAGCCATAACGATAGCAAAATGCGCCGCGGTGACAAGGAACAACCTTTCCTGGACACCGCGCTTCAGTAAATTATAAGCGGGATGGATTTGGTTGACTCGGATAAGCGCCTGGAGAAGAAAGGTATATGTCTCATCATCCCATTCCACGCCAAATTCTCTCATGCGCTTGAGTAGTTCATAAACCTTGCTGAGCTTTCCCTCGACGCCGTTGAAGTTGATAAGCTGATTCCATATAGCTCCAGATATGAGCTTACGATGGGTCAGCTCAATGCAAAGGTTCTCCGCCTCGGAAAGGAGGCCATTCTGACAGTATGCTACCACCAGAGCCAGACCTATTTCTTTGGTGATAGGTACCTCAGCTTCCTGTGATTTGGTGAAGATTTCCAGAGTAGTCTCCAAATCACCCCTTTTAGCAGTCATGGCCATGGCGTGTGCATAGGTGTAGGCATCCGGCTCGTGTTTTTCTGCGATATCCTCAAACAGTTTCATGACGGCATCATAGTCATTGGTCCTCATGTAAGCCTTGAGATATGTGTTCCAGCAGTCGAGGTCCGGCTCAACCTGGTATTCATTGACCATCTTGTCGATCTCTTTTTTTGCATTCTCAACGTCTCCAACTTGAGCATACACGTTTATTGTGCTTCTAAATCCACGGGGGGACCGAACCACTTCAGGGAAATCTTCCACGTACTGAGACCATAAATCTGTGACTGCTCGCACATCGCCCCTTGCTGCGTAATACTTGAGATACTTTTCATAGCCCCATTGGTTGAGCCCGCCCTTGAACCGAATCCAGTCCTCTTTAATCTCTTCCAGTCTGGCCGACCTCTTTGGAAAGCAGACTTTGAACATGCCACGGTAGACAGTCATCGCAGGCTGTGCATCTGGCAGTTCCCGAAATTTCTGGTAAATAGGAATGAGTTGCTCCATAGTGGATCGACTTTCCTGCTTTACCATCCAGCGGTCGAACATGGTGTTCAGGTATGTGTTGTATGCATTCCGATCTTGCAGAGTCTCAAGAATGATCATCGCTTGCTTGGGACGGCACGGTTCTCGTAGCGCCATGTTGGCAAAGAACTTCCGGAAGGAGGACAAGGCTAGGGCGGCAACCGGGTCTTCCTTGATTTTCTTATGCTGCTCTGCGCCTTCGCCAACCAAGTAGGCTCGGAAGGCGAAGTAGTGATCTCCCTGTGAAGGAAGAGACCCAAGCTGCTGAAGCCGTTCTAAATCCGGGGCCAACGCTTCGGGTTTTCTCTTGACGCGGTCCTTGTAGAATGAAATCCATACTTCCAAAGCTGCCGACCATTTCTTCGAGTTTATTGCATCCGCCATTAAGTACTCCAGACCATGATTCAACCCTCTCATTTCCAATCCAGTTTTGAAGCACTCCACAGCCGAAGGAAGATCCCCGGACCGTAGAAGCAGGATAATTCCTGCAGTTAAGGTGTCATTATCCCATGAACTTGGTGAGATTTGGCGGAATACTGAGAGGGCTCTTCCTGTTTCAACAATGCTGTGGGAGCGAGACAGATACTGTACTACCCGGCCACGTATGAAACTTCTTTGGTCGTTGTCTAGCACAGAGAACTGGTCCCAAACTTCCTGAAACTGACGACCTTTTCTATCCAATAGCTGTCGAAGTTCCCGTACTTGCTGCAGTTCTGGCTCGGCTTTGGTGTGAACCGTTGGTTTTCCATCAGGAAATAAACTTGGGTCCTCCGCTATGTCGGCTATCTCATAAGGACGTGACTTCTCAGTCGATGGGTCGGGCTGATCAGGAGTCGTCGTTTCGGTCGTTTCAGTCTTTTCATTTGCTTCATTTGTTTCGGTCGTATTCGGAGGTATTATCGATGAGTATGGTCGTCTTGTCGGAACGATTGCAGTTCTCTGCGCATGCTGAGAGTTGGGTAGTTCAGGGTAGAGGCGGCATAACAGAGGAATAGTCGATTTTGGGTAAAGGAAGTCGAGGACCAAGACTGATGCAAGTAGATTTGGCTGTAGTTGCTTTGTTTCCGGTTCGGAGGTGGCAACCTTAGCAGTTCTCATCGAGCCAGGCAAGGAACTGGAAAGGTCGATAGCGGAGGCTCCATGTTGCCAGAAGCCTGTATGTAATCGTCGAGATCGAATCGAAGTCTTGTGAATGACACGCTGGAGACTGCGCGACTCCAAAGTGGCAGCTGTTCGCTCGAGCATTGAAGTCAAGGGAAGGTTGTGTATTAAGTCGAAAAGTTAAAGACAGACGTTGTCATGCTTGGTGGCAAGTAGACGAGAGGATGAAGTCTAATGATGGAAACTGAGTTGCAGGAATCCGAACTAGAGTGCCTCAAACTCGAACCGATAAAGAGCGGTTGTATTATACACACGGCAGAGCCGTAGAAGTGAGAAAGAAATGTTCTATCAAATAAAGTAACAAGACTCCAATCGCTATGTTCAGAAAAAAAGTTTAGCTCGGCTCTCACAGAGTTCGAAGTCGTTAACATCAGCCGATATCCACCATCGAAAATGGCCTAGGGGTGTTATCTGGCCAATGAAATAGTCTTCCTGGCCCTTGGCGGGGTTGGCCGTTTTGCCTTCAGGAACCTTCACAACCATCATCGACTCTAGATTTTGTGGTTCATCGGTGGATCTTTTACTTATGCCTCAGTATTATTATAGTTAAATCCATGCTATGGATGTCACTATTCTTCTCTTTATGAAGACTGCAAGAACATCAAATACAATTATAAATTCAGATACATTCAGAGTATAGTAACTGTCGTTTCATATATTCATCAATTTATTCTGGTGGATGTCAACCCAAGATATCTTCTTTTTGGTCTCTCATACACAAGAAGCCATCATACAAAATCTCATAGCGCCGCCATCTTATCCATAAACACGGCTATTTCGAAGAGATCCAATTTCCCAATAATATGAAGGAAAAAAAGAAGAAAAAAAAACACCCAGTGAAACCAATATCATGACACAATCTGGCAACTCCGAGATAACCAGCTCTCAGCGCAACAGAACCCAGAAAAAGAAACCAAAGACAGCGCAGTATCCGGTCATCGTACATAAAGAATTAAGAATATGGGTATCGGCCTGGTTTCCGGTTTTTTGTCTTATACATCCACTCGAGGGCGACAAGACATCAGTATCTGAAAAGCAAATGATAAGATAGACAAGCGATATCGATTTTATGTGTTGGACTTCGCCTCGTCTGTTGTGTCAGAAGAAGAGGCTCGGACCTCGTTTCGTAGTCCTGAAAGACCATCAGTGGGTTGCTGAGCTGAAAGCTCCATCTCCAACCGAGGACCCCGGCTCTGGCTCCGAGTTCGCTGCCTTCGTCGAATTGGTCTATGCTGTTGGAGTTGCTGTTCGATAGGAGATGCAACTCGGGAAGGGCAATGCTCTCGACGGAGGCGGGCATGGAGGAGTCGACGTCTTGTGGGAGATGGCACTCTTCTAGGTGAGGATGGACGGGATGTGTAGCTCAGAGCTGGAGAAGCAGCACGACGACGAGAGCGGCCTCGCAAGTTGCTGGATTCGTCTGCTGGTGCAGCTCGGAATGACCGGACGCTTCCTCGGGTCATGCTTCGTTCTCTCTTACGGCCTCGTAGGACATCGTGATCGGCATTTGGGGAAACGACAGTCGGCGGCTCAGTGTAGGATGAAGAGCCGGGTGCGACTCGAGCAGTCATGTTGTGCTTTCTTTATCGTGGTATGTGATGGGAGTTGGAGTTTGGTGTTTGTGAAACTGCAGATAAGTCAAGGCGAGATAAGTAGTTAAGTTATATGCAGAAGATAAAGAGTAGAGACGGGTAGATCAAAGTAGCAACGAAGGTATCGAGTCAACAAGTCAACTTTATGGTGTTTGGGGTCACTTGAGCAACGACTGAGTGGTCAAATGCGAGTAGACGTGGCAGGGATGATCATATAAGTCAAGGTCAGTTTTTTTGTTTTGCCTGGGCAGTTGATCAAGAAGATGAGGGAGGTAGAGGGCCTCACTCGGGATTTATAAATAGGGATTACCAGAAGAAAAAGTATGTAAAAGGGGGAAAAACAACTCGGGAATGGTACTGTAGTTCCAAGGGATTGAAACCTTGAAGGTCCAAGGGATAGACCCGGTGGAGGGTGTAGCGTAGCGAGGAGCTAGACGCTAGACGCTAGAGTTAGTGAAGTGTGGGGTGCGGCATTGACATCCGGAGATGGCCCCCGTTGTTTGACATGGAACTTTCAAGCAAAAATGGACTTGAGGATGCGTCTCATCTCATGGTTTGTCCGCTCAATCATCTGATGGGATGGTCACTTTTTGCACTCGCTTACGAATAATGACCCCTGAAACTACGGACATTTGTTTGTTTATCTGCTGCTATCCAGTGCTTGTCATTTATGCACATGCAATGACAATATCATAATAATACTTCATGCTAAGCACGTTTACTTCATACAGTATGATACAGCTGAACGTACGTACTGATAAGCTGATGGTGTTACAGAGAGGTCGGCCTCACGTTGGCGCTGAACTTTGATGCTTAGCCTCCAACGCAGGATCGAACCTTGAAGAGCAGCATCTTGTTCGCACGATGGGGCGTCAAGGTGTCTTCCATTGCTTTCCCCGCGCGGAGCAGGCCGTTGGATAAACTGCTACGCTACCTTTGCAGTGTAACTATCCCTGGGTGTACCGGTATGACTGACTGACTGTATTGGCTTGGCCCTCCCTCCAAGACAATTCGTCAATAAAAGCCATACACAACTGGTATGGAAGGGCTTCACTCACTCAAGCCCAACCCCAGTCGCAGATGCTTGAGCTGACGAAACATGACGATGCATACCATGACGTACATGCCGACGTATCAGCTCTGATGTTATCTGTGCCTGTATCATATCCAGAAGATTGCGAGGTTACAATTACAAAACGTCTGCATCAGCAACTTAGCCGCCAGATACTGCAACTCATGAGATGATAGCCTGCAATTGCCTTTTGTAACCGTCAATATCAGCAGTTTGGCCATGTGTTTTCCAAGGTTGGCGTGCTTGTAAACCCTCCATCACGAGTTGCACGCGATCAGAGGAGTTTTGTTAGCGCCCAGGCACTCTCCAACCAACCAACTCTCGTTAGTTCTAGGGAACAGTAACTAGATTGGCGGCTTCGCCTCCAAGTGGTGGCGTTCTTGAAGATTCCTGGTGTCAATCATTTCAGTTCGTAGATATTCTAAAAACATCCGTCCAAACGAAAAACCAAAACCTTGGCTTGTTCCGAAGAGTGATGCAGATATGTGAGGTAACACTAGGGCCGAGGCTATTCTACTGATGCTGTCCAACGCTCTTTGATTGTGGAAAGGTTAAAGGAGGAAGGGGGAAGTAAATTCCGTTTGTCTTGTCACGGGAAACGGAATGGGAATTGCAGAGTAACTTAATCTCTCGGGTTGATGCTCCGAAAGTACGATAGACTTTACATCATATGCCCTTAGAGTATTGGTATTGTTGGTTAGGACAGATAGATCGTCGTGATCTGTTCCTCGGCGGACTCAATTGTCCGTGATGCCGTCCCCTCCGTATTATCATCCGGGCTTTTGGACCCCAAAATATCATTGGTTAGCGGTGTCTAAAGAGAAAATAAGAAAGGAGATGAGAATAAATAGATGTAATGCAAAGAAATAGCAACTTCCGCATTAGTTAATATGAGAAGATGTTAAGTTCATGCTCGTTCCTCAACCAAAAGATCATCGTCACTAAAAGCCAATCGATCTCAACTCCCTTCCGGGCCTTGGTTAGGTCCGGCTACCGCTCAGGGGTGAGTATCCACCAATCAATTCCGGCCCCGGTTCCCATGCCTGCCCAGGCCTAGTCTCACTCGCTGTGGAGGCTGCTGTGAACTGGAGTCTGGTGCTGTTTTTTTTTGTTTTTGTTTTGGGCCTGTCACAAGCTTCCATTTGAATAATTGAGGAGCTCTCGTCATGTCCAGTCAACCTGGAACCTCAAACAGGCACACATCGTCATTCTGTAACCAGCTTCGTTTTGGCTGTCACTGCCAACAAAAGCCTCCAGGACTTGTTGTTGATTCGTTTCTCTTCTTAATACTGCCCTTATTCACTTTCTCTTCACTACCTCCTTCTTGATAAACTATATTACTCCTTTTCTCGAATAACAACAACATCCATTTATAATCTTATCCCTCCACCCCCTTTCAACCTAAATCAACACGCGTCACGATCGAAGAACCGAACGAATTCTCCATCAACGAACCCAACTCCTAAAATTTCGACCTCTGCCTAGGGAATGGCCTTGAAAACATTCTAATCCCGCTCCAATCACTCTCTCCATCTCCATCCACCTTATTCCCATCCGTCGCCAACATGCCTCGATCACGACCCGCAACAACAGGCTATGAACGCCTCGCACAGGCGGACGACATCAGCGACGACTCAGATGAGGATCCCCTCTCCCAATCCTACGCATCGCTACAGCCCGCGGCTGCACCACGATATGCCCCCGTAACTCAACCGCGCCATCGTTCTGGCATGGCCAGTCCCAAATCATTTGCCTCGTCATCACAACCCAAATTTCGCCATCGTTCCGGAAGCAGCGCCGGTGTCGATCTCAAGGCCATCAATGCCCGCCTGGAGCGATGGGCAGACGAGATTGCTTCGCGTTTCAAGCGCAAGGGGAAGAATCAGCAAGGTGAAGAGGAACGGCTTGAAATTCACTATTCTGTCTTCCAACCTCCCGAGGGTGTTCGCCCGGTGACCGCTGAGAGTATTGCTGCGCCGCAGGAAGGTGTCATGACTAGAGCAGAGTTTGAAATTATCGTGGAAAGCGTACGGAGTGCTATTCGGCAAGAAATTCACCCAAGTATGATTTCTCAGGGCAGTTCTGGTAGTTACTTTGCCCGAAATCCCGATGGCAAGATTGTCGGTGTTTTTAAGCCCAAGGACGAGGAGCCATACGCCGCAGGAAACCCCAAATGGAACAAGTGGATTCACAGAAACCTGTTCCCTTGCTGCTTTGGAAGAGCCTGGTACGTCATCTTCGCGGCGGCTTCCCAGTGTCATTGCTAACGTTTCTGCAGCCTTATTCCTAACCTCTCGTATGTCAGCGAAGCAGCTGCCTACGTACTCGATTGCCAACTTCGAACACATCTCGTTCCATACACCGACGTTGTATGGCTTGCTTCCAAATCCTTCCACTATCCATTCTGGGACCGCCGCAAGTTCCATCGCAAGAAGAAGCCTCTGCCAGCGAAGCCCGGCAGCTTCCAGGTCTTCCTCAAGGGTTTCAAGGATGCCAACGTGTTCCTTCGTGAACATCCTTGGCCGGATCAATATTGGTCAGGATTCCGTACAAACGATGGTCAGAGTAAGAAGAAGAGGAGGTGGACGGAGAGCTGCCGCCCATCAGGAAACGCCTCGCCGAACGACGGATACAACAGCGACGACGAAGAAGCTGCCCAAGCCGCGAATCTTTTAGGTCCTGATAACTTCATTTGGACCGACAACTTAAAAGAATCTCTGCGGGAAGAGCTTGAGAAGCTGGTCATTCTTGACTACATAATGCGAAATACAGATCGTGGTCTGGACAATTGGATGATCAAGGTTGATTGGGAGACAGGCAAGGCCTCGATAGCATCAGACCCCATTCAAATGAACATGGAACCAGTCGCCGAGGAAGAGGGCCCTCGACCTGTCGATCTTTCGCAACAAGGGCCTCGTGCTACGAGAGCGTCATATCCTTATAAGACCCAGAGACCTATGAGTGCCTCAAGCCGACAACCAGCAGGAAACGAGCCAGCAATTACCATTGGAGCTATTGACAACTCGCTGTCATGGCCCTGGAAACATCCGGATGCTTGGAGAAGGTAAGGACATAGGTCACCGGTATAAAAAGCGTGCTAATCTTGCGTTCTCAGTTTCCCCTTTGGCTGGCTTTTCCTCCCTGTAGACCTCATCGGAAGGCCATTTTCTCAAAAGACACGAGATCACTTTCTACCACTGCTCACATCCACATCATGGTGGACTCAGACCATTCTCGCTCTAAAGAGGGTGTTCCAGATGGATGTTGATTTCCAAGAGCGCATGTTTGCTAAGCAAGTCGCCGTCATGAAGGGTCAGGCCTGGAACGTCGTTGAGACACTCAAAACTCCAGACCATGGCCCTCTTGAACTGACCCGCCGAGCGAGAGTTTGCGTCTGGGATGATCTAGTTGACGTGCCTGTTGCTGTTCCTATGCGTAATACGTCCTCGGAAGTCCGCCGCAACCCCCACGTTCGTCAATCCATGGATGAGGCCGACATTGCCAGTTCGGCTCCGACCAATAATCCTCCAATCGAGGACCTTCTCGGTCTGGCTAGTGCACCCGCCGATATGCCTCATCCAGGTAGATTTGAGCTCTCATCTCCGACAGGCGAGACTGCTCAGTCACCAGATGAGGTACCCTCAAGCGAACCCAACCTCCTGGCACCAGCGGGGCAGCAACAGAACGGTGGAGACATAGCCAAGCGTCCCACGGTTCAGGCAGCTGGGTTTAGGAACAGTTACCAGGGTCCTGTTCGTGCACTCAACATGTATGAACCAGCACGCCAGCAGGTGCCGCGACAGCAACGAAGATATTCATTTGCCAACGCTGCGGCCCGTCGTAACAGCAACACCATCGCACAGCAGTATTATGGTGACAATGAGAACTACACCGACGACCTAGAAGGTGACCTAGGATATGCTGCTGCAGAGGGGCAGATGGGCAACCAACGCAAGGTCATTGTTGAGCGGCTCGAAGCCGTCAAGAGTAGGAACCCCGTCTTTACCTGCTGGTAAGGGCCTCAACCTTGGCTGCAGCATTTTGTTTGCTTTTGATTTGAACGGCTGGCTATTTTCAAAGACTGCAGGCATTGGATACATTATCTCTGCCAAGGTCTCAGCCGTCACGTCACCTCACAGTGTGGCCTTCCCAATATATCATTCCGTGAGGTTGCATCCCTTATTAGGGTCACCTTGATCTTATAAATCCAGGGGTAACCTGTTACATCCGTGCAGTTCCCTTCTTGGCCAATATGCAGTTTGTTCGAAAATTTGGTTGAGCGTTACTGGTTCGGGGTTTATATGCATAATGCTGGTCACCGGGAGGTTTCCTCCAGAGACACAATGATCCTTTTGGAACACTTGTCTCATTGCAAGCCAACGTACCATCGGTACGAAAAGAGGAAACAGGCCGCGCAGGTTTGCAGGCAAGCCACAGAATCTAAGCTGACTTGCATGACGAGAATTCGAAAACCAAGCGAGGATGTGTGCAAGCAGAGCGGGGTCAAGAGCTGACCTGTCATTGCTGTACAGTATGATTCAAAGGTTATGGTTCGGATTTTGTTGTTCTTATCCTGGTGAAGGATTCGGTGTTGCCTTGGAGTTTTGGACTAAAGACGCCGTACGGGTTATGATGATTAAAATTCAGATGTCGTTATGATAGCCCACCGCAGAATAGAAGGATACGGATACAGGCTATAACCCAGTCATTTTTGGACGTCCTGCTGTAGCATCCATGACTTAGTTTGTAGATACTGTTGAAATCTTGAGCCCTCCAAAGTGCCGTGCATACTGGGTTATCTGAGGAATAGAAACTGAACGATGTGGTTAATCCCACGGAATAGCGGAACAGTGCCCATATAATCGCGCCCACCAATTTCCCGGGTTTCTGGTCAGAACCCGAGAGTCTGGGTCGGTAAACCATGGCTTGAGCATGGTTCCCCTGTCTTTGTAGTATCAGCCGTAGCGCATAACCGTTCTACTATCGGTTAGTTGGCAATAGTAATTCAGACAAAGTGCTACCAGAGCTGAGCTTTTGCTCTCCAATCTTGCATGTCGGTGTCCTGCCCAATCCACCATGTCTTTGAACAAACCGCGGCTAAGTTTATCCGAGTGATGGAGTTATCATATGAGGCCGCACCACGTAGTCAGAAAGGTAACAGTCAATTGACGATCCTCCTTTGGCGTGCAGCCTGGCAGCCTTTTGGACTCGGCGCTTTATCCACCCACAGACTCCATGATGGCGGCCCGTAGCGGCTGTTCAAAGGCTGCGTGTGGGTAAGGGAGCCACTGGACCCTCCGAAGCTGTGTGTGTGACAGTTAGAACGTACCAACTTGCCAGCCTGCTGGTGTCGTCGCTTGCGATATGCTCAGACCGTGCTGTTGATGCCACACAATTTTAAAGGTCTTTGATGAAGCCAAGAACACCATTTGGCAAGATTTTCAATCTGCTATCGCCTTCCTTTCTGAAGCACCCAACGTGATCTCTGGTGCGGTCATGGGACAGGCGGATCGTTACTTACAAGTTATCGCAACCTCGCAAACCGTGGACACTTCCCATTCGTTGGTAGGGTTTCTCGTCGTCTCCGTATCCACAAGACCCTTTGTGAGACTTGATCATTGTGAGCCTATGACCGGATCAAGTAAGCTCTCCCAGGTTACCCCTGTTAATATAAGGATGCGGCAATAGGGACCATCGATTGTCATCATCGAGGTCCTTTCTCTGCGTGTCATGAGCTGACAGAGGGCTTTCGCTCGTCACCACCTGCAGCGTTACAACCTGCAACGGCCCGTCAATGTGTACATCAACACTAGTAGAGGTACGACGTTGGACAAGTAGCATTCTTTCGTCCCAGTTTTCGTCAAGACTTCTTTTCAGAATTCGATAGGTCGTATGATGTTAATGGTGAAGCCCAGAGAATGAATTAGCCGAAGGGGGGTAGCAAATGCACGCCAGCCGCGAGAACCTATCCAATGCAACTTAGCGGCCCATCACCAGCATATATGCGGCCATGAGACCTCCCTTTTACACGCCTCTGCCACTAGGAATCTTCTGTATTCGAGCTCTGCATAAAATACTGCTGGATACACGAGGCGGTGAAGAGATGAACCGCCCAGTTCCTGGTTTGAGAACTATCGTTGTTTGGCTTTAAAAGATCCCAGTGCTGTTAAGGTGGATCATAGCCATTATCACTGAGACCCATCGAAGGGTGCTTTTGGTGATACGAAAGTGCTCTGACTGGGCTCCTTAGTCGCCTGCGTCGCAATCCTGGCGCAACCATATTCTCGTTGGCAAGAAGGTGCAAGGGGCAGATAAGGAGGGCCGTTCGCTTGACTCGCCTATACATATAATCAACGATTCTCCCAGTCAAGCAAGTGTTGTCGACCACCGTTCAGTCGTACGCGAGCTCCGAAGATACCAAGTTGTACTAGAGTACAGCAAGTTTGGATGATCCGTATCCCGAAGGCTGTCCCAGGTCCATGCCATCGGTATTGACATGGATTGTCATTGGACTATGCCCCGAGGAGCTTTCATTGTGAAACCATGATCTTACTTTGTTCACCAAAAACGCTGTTACACATGTGACAAACTGTGAATCCTCTTTGTCGAGCTGATGATCACTACCAACGTTGGGGTAGGACAGCCTCACTATCAACGTCAAACGGTTCGTAGTCATAGGGCGCCACCTTCCATGGCAGGCACATAGTCTCAAGCCATCCACGGAGTCTGCACAAGTCCCGACAACCGGGTGCCTGAGCGTGAGATGGTGGGAAGGATTTCATCCAACGCAAAAAAGGACCCATTGGTTGGTTCTGACGGGGTAAGGCGAGAATGAGACCCTCCACCAGAGGCTGCACCTGTACGGAGCATAGTTGACTGCAATCATGTCTAATAACATGCCGCAAACCATCCTCTCCACTTCGAGTGGAACCTGTCTCGTCGACCGAAGCATGGGGCCATGGATGGGAAATGGTTGCTAATGAGGCATTCAAGGGCCCCCGAACTAGTGATTTCCATTTTACCCATGGATAGCTACTTTGGTATCCAAGGTCTTGGTGAGAGTGTCAAGAATTTGTGAATCTAAAGTTCACAATCTTTTGAGCTCCATGTCTACCTCCCATCAATAGCCAAAGGAGCCAGCCTCTAACCTATACCAGGCGTTGATGCTTTGCCTGTTTCTCCCAGCGTCATCTTGCCATATTCCATAGGATACTGCGGTTGTAAAATAGCCCCTGGTGATATGTTCGCCGTTATTCTTTCGTACTGGGGCCAATATGAGTTGAACGGCAGAGCTCTGGGGTGTCAAGATCGGCATTGGACCTTCAGGAAGCAGTCCTTTGCCGGCCCGTGTCTCGGCTCTCTGCTAGATCATCTCCGCATTCTTCGAGAAGCCCTATTGCGCCTTTGAATGGTACGCAAAGCCGCTAGATGCAAAAGCCACCATAGTCATGTTACGTCTTTGCACTCTGCATCCTAGCACCAGGGTGGCTCTTATACGTTAGGCTAGGGTCGCGCTTTGGGTACCACATGTCTTCCTTAGGAATTGTTTAAATCCTTTTTGGAAAAGGCAGCTCTGTTCGTCCTGGCTATTGTCGTTCGAGCAAGCTTGCATCGTACTTATAGTATTAAGAGGCATTTCGAGTCCGAAAATTCGACCATCAAGAAAATGGATGCAGAGTAAGACTACCAAAGTTTCTTGATATGGAAGTTTCGCTAAGCCCCCATGCAAAGGGATGGAACCGTGCCCTTGGACGAGACGTTCACCGAGACAATCGAACACTATGGGCGCTCTTATCAACATTACTCCCTCACGAATGGTACATATTTTGCACCCATCGATGAGGTAAGTTAATGATTCCTATCCAGGATCGAAGTGGTTGACAGAAAGTAACAAAAGTCACTGACTAGGACGAAATCTCGCGCCTCGAGGTGATGCACGGAGTCCTCAGCAGGCTCTTTGATGGGAGGCTCATATTCCCTCCTATCAGGTCGCCACGACGAATACTCGATTGCGGTTGCGGTCCAGGAGATTGGGCCATCGAAGTCGCCACACAATATCCTGACGCCGAAGTGAGTTTCCCCTGGGCCATTGGCAAGTCTTCCCTTCAAGGGGCAATGTTTATAGGCAATCCGAGTCAGGCGAAATGCGATACACCATGCTCCATCGTGGGGCTTGAGGCATCTCAATTTTGTATGCTCTTCTGGTCCCATCCCGGAGTCTTGAGGTGATAGTTTTGGGTGTCACCATCGTCAACCGGGCCAGCCTGACTCAACTCTTAAACTACCAAAGATAAAGATCTGGGATGAGATATTTTGTGGCTAAGTCTTTTGCGCAGGTCCTTGGCATCGATGTCAGCCCGCACATGATTCCAGAAAACCCTCCCGATAATATGGAGCTCCAAGTTGACGACCTTAACGGGAGGCAAGTAGTCGTAAGCAAGTCTTATGATCGATGCTAACCTGGGTCCGGAATAGATTTACATTTCGGTCCAACCACTTTGACGTTGTCCACAGCCAAATGGTCGCCGGTGGGATCCATGCGAATCGATGGCGAAGTTATATTCGAGATATTTTCCGTGTATTGAAGCCAGGCGGTTGGTGTCAGATGGTTGAGATATACTTCAACGCCCAGTCCGACAATGGTACGCTAGGTAGAGGTGATTCCCCTAGTCTCCTGAACACGGAAAGTCCTGCATCCTAACGATTGTGCTGACTAGATCACGCCTTATCGCAATGGTCCAGACAATACTTGGAAAGCCAGCAGCCGTACAAAGATCCGCGGGCACCACTTCAACTAGCCAGCTGGATGAGAAGTGCAGGGTTTACGGAAGTTGAGTCGAGACTTTTGACGTTACCAATGTGCGGCTGGTCGAGTGGTAGGTTGTTTTGACGCCAGATCGTATGTGTTGAGGCTGATGGTAGCGTAGTCCTCCGAGATTATGACATAGGCCGATCTAATACCGATAACGTGAGCCAGCTATTGTATTCGCTAGCATTGTACCCGTTCACACAGTTCCTTGGGTATGTGGGTCGTAATATATCGGGGTACTGTTTTGCTGAGCCTTGTATAGGATGTCTTTCAGTGATTTTCAACTCCTGATAGCTCAAGCGAGGAGCGAAGCCAGCAACCCAGCGTTCAAGGTACGTCTTCTTGGTTCTTGACTCAGAAAGGGGGCGGATCTTGATTTGAATTGATTGTTAACGATTTGTAGGCCTACTTCCCCGTGTAAGTTTCTCTAGGCCTTCCCATGGTCTTCCGATATTCTGACAGATCATGGCAGTTATGTTTGTATTGGCAGAAAGCCACGACGGTAACAGCCATGAAGTCCCAATTTGTGTCATTGAGGTATTCCTTGGTCAATTGCGAGAGAAGATGCGGCGGAGGGTGTATGATGCAAAGTTCCACGGGATCCCAAAGTAGTATTGGTTTCGTTTGAGCGCCCACGATGGGATTGAAGGATGGTAGTGAATGGTATGTGCAAAGGGGAGATGGTGCAAGATGCCATTACTCGGCCTTGTAGTTGAAACAAGGTTTTGTTGGCTGGACAGGGAAGCGGCAGTGGCGCGCCATCAAGTGGATAATAGAGGAAGGTTGGAGGAAAGTCCTGAGATTCGTTGCCGAACATGGCAAGCATGGCCTGGCTTTGACTGGGTAGGAAGGGAGTGACAATGGATAGAAAGAGAAGTGATGTGCAGATGCTCGGACTTAAGGAAAGAAAGGAAAGAACGAAAGAGAGAAAGAAAGAGAACTGCTACCAACACCCATGAAGTGGCTGCTCGTCCCTTGTTATGATTTCCAGGGAATGATTCGTAATGACTGGTGGATGGACTCTCGGTACCGACAGTTTGGGCCCGATGTGTAAGAGAGTTATTACCAGCGGCCGCAACAGGTCCGAGACCTTAGAATATCACGATGAGCATGACTTAGGGAGAAGACTAAGGAGAGACGGTGTGTGCAAGAGACATATTGGTGACATCTCAGAAGTCATACTACTCGATGACAAGATTGATACTATAATCTAGTCCAGTATCTATAAAACCACCATTCCACTTCTACACAACCCTGGTTCATTGTCTCGGGGCCCAACTACCCATGAGTTCATCTCCTCATCTCCACCAACGACGCGACCCGAGAATGAGATCTCGTTCCAGTTTCAGGGAAGAGACGGTTAGCAATGGAACCATAACCCTTACCTTACCGTCCGTCACCTGAGTTTCGACCGCCTCTCGACTCAAAGCCAGCTGAAATGTTTCGAAACAGAATAGTCGATCTGCATCTACAGACGGATACAACACACAACGTTCGAGCCGCCTCCTGGTCTGTTCCTTGGCCGGTGAAGCTAGTGCGCTCCTACAGTACCTAGTGGAATGCAATATCAACGGGATCATCCCCGATCCTTGCTAAGGCGTAGGCGAGCGGGTGCACCAATGATCAGGTGATTTAGCGTTACCGAGACTATGTTGGACGACGTCGATTGAGAAGAGAGAGAACAATATCATGGTGTTGATACTGGGGGTATTCGTCACTAAAATGATATCATGACTGGTCCTTTTTGTTTGAGACAATGCACCTCCCATCTCAAAGTGGAGGTCTATGATGAGTGGCCAGCTACCAGCTCTCCTGTCGATCAATTTGAGAAATCAACAAACTTCGTCAGAAGCAATCTTGCCATGAAACTTGCCGAGATGGCTCTCAACTGTCATCCATCATAACATCTCCGACAGCCTGGTCGTGCAGCCCCCAGATTCGTACGCGAAGGTTGGCAGTCTGGGGACCCTGGTAGCCTAGGCTGTTGTTCCTTTACTGGACCTCCACTAAGAATTGCTGGAGCTCGTCACACCGCCAATCAAAGTTGCCAATTGCATGCTTGGGAAATTTTGACCTGTCGTTCGATATCAGCTTAAGCTTTACGGTAGCAACACCAAACCTCGAGCCGCGATCGTCATATCGAGTCACCAAACAGTCTCTACACCGAAAATACCGATCCAGCTACTATTCCATCAAAATGTCGGCGAAACAATCGATGCAACTATTCCGGGCTCTGCGTATGTCGCAGCCTACTCTCCGCCAGCCCATCAACCGAGTCTCTGTCTGCCGATTCTACTCAACATCTACCGAAGATGCGCCCCCTCCCCTGCTGTCCAAGCTCAAGGCCGATCTCAAGACCGCCATGCGTGCCAAGGATACCCCTCGTCTGACCGTTCTCCGAGCTATCATGTCCGCCAACCTCAACGCTTCCAAGACCTCTACTCCCATCAAGACAGATGTCCAGCTTGTTGCTTTGATCCGCAAGATCCAAAAGAGCTCTCAAGATGCTGCCGCTGAGGCCAAGGCTGCCAACCGTAAGGATCTTGTTCAGAAGGAAGAGGATCAGATCAAGGTGCTGGACGAGTACCTTGCCAACAGCGGAGTCGAGAGCTTGACCGAGGCTCAGCTCAAGGCTATGGTGCAGGATGCTGTTGAGGCTTCAAAGGCTGCTGGCACCCAAGCCAAGTCTATCATGGGCGATGTCATGAAGAGATTGTCTGGTGCTCTCGAGGGCAAGGACGTCGACAGAAAGGAGTTGGCCAAGATGGTCAAGGAGCTCACTGGCTAAAGTATTGGATGTATATATAAATGCATGGTGTAAAGTATGTATACTATAGTGTGGGCTGGCATTACGATTGTCATGAAATCAATGAAATATCTACCTCTTGCGCGCGAATATTGAGCTTCAGCCTCCTCGAATTGGTCAAGCGACCCCACCCCCAGCAAACAATAGGAATAGCCTGGTGTAAGTGACTCACGACACCTCCTATATCTTCCCTCACCTTTGCACCTTTCTTTTTCTTCACGTTGTATTTTTATAATATCTCTTCATCATTAATATTTACCTCAATTGCAATGACTACCCGTCAAAACATCAGCTCTGGCTCTGCCTTTGAAGAGCTCATCGGATACTCCAGAGCTGTCGTGACCGGCGATTGGGTTTTTGTCAGCGGCACGACTGGGTGAGCAATTCTACACTATATTGAGATTTTGAAAATAGCTAAATATCACAGGTATGATTATAAGACTGGAGAGATATCGTCAGATGTTGCCGAGCAGGCCGACCAAACCATGACCAACATCGCTGCTGCATTGAAAGATGCCGGTGCTTCGGTTTCCGATGTCGTTCGTGTCCACTATATCCTCCCTGACCGCGATGATTTCCCAAAGACCTGGCCAGTGTTGAAGAAATGGTTTGGCGATGTTCGTCCTGCTGCAACCATGGTCCAGTCCTCGTTGATGAAGGAGGAGATGAAGATTGAGATTGAAGTTACTGCCAGAACTGGCTGTGGGAATAAGAAGGATTAGATGCTTTACTCAGGTGCTTTTGGGGACCCCATGGTCAGGAATAGATAGCCCCGGGTCATGTTTCATATAGCAACCATAGATTTTGTATATCCAACCCAGTCTAATGAAACAACGGAGCAACCAAGCTTCCAGCAGCGAATGCAGTGCTCATAGTGACAAGACTTGATGTCGACATCAACGATAAACCACTGACGCCATGTCCTGAAGGGCATCCTCCAGCCAATCTCGAGCCCACAATCATCAAAAATCCACCAACTCCAGCAAGCAAAGGCTCTGTCTCAACGACATGGCCCTTGACGAATGACGGGAATAACTTTGCAAGAACCCAAGCACCACTTGTCATGCCCACAGCGAATAAGGTGTTCTGTCGACTTTTTGGCCAAGGGGCGTCTCGTGTGAGCCACCAGAAATGGTTTCCGACTTCTTCATATGATCCCGATATGCCGATCATAGAGCGGCGGACAAGAATCGAGAAGAGCTGTGAGAGACCGATGAAGAGACCACCGCCAGCTGAGAAAAGTGACCAATCGGAGCCAGTAGTGTGGGCAACAGAAGCACCAATGATAGATAAGCAGATAGATTCGAAGAGAGCAACTGTTGCATCGTTGGAAAGTCCGAGGTTCTCGTCGAGAGTTACAGTCTCAGGCTGCACACCCGCCTTCTCCCTTTGAGTCTTCGCTGCTTGCGCGACATAACCAGTATAGGCTAGACCTCCAATAATAGCTCCTCCAAGAGCATAGAAGCCAGTCCTCAGACCAGCTCCGACTTGTGCGAACAAAGTACCTGGACAGGATCCTGAGAGAGCCATGCCAGCTCCAAGGAGGAATCCGCCTATGACGTTACCATCATACTGTCCAAAGAGCCCAATCGGTGATGAACTTCTGGGTTTGAGCTTAACGTAGCCGTATCTTTCGGCGATTTTATATATGATACTTCCAACATATTAGCTTTTCCCCATGTTCTTGTAGGGGGTTACTGCTCACGCGCTGCTTGCAACCGCACCAAGAGAAGTTTGCAGCATATGCCAATCCTGGAATTTGAACTGATTGATAATTGTTGAGGGCAAATAGACGCCCGCGGCTATCGTAGAGGCGCCATAGACGGCGCCCGAGAACAGTGCGGCCATATGAAAAGTTGCGCGGCGTTTAGCTGATGGTTCAGACAACGTTGATGTCGATGTTCGTTGGTTTGATATATGGGATGCCGGTTTTCGGAGCGTGATAAGCAGCTATAGAGTAAGGTTGCGTAGTGCGTTCAGCAATGCAACATTTCAAGCCAACAAGCTTCAAATTATCTTCTTATATTACATAATTCTTCGAATCTATGTCCAGCTTATACTTCAACATGCTTATTATGATTTCTTTAGTTACCATGTCAATTGAGGAATTCTGTCCACACGAGATTTCGACGTTAGCGTCAGTGTTAGTGAAGTTGATGCAATACCAAGTCAGATAGTCTTATATAAGGTATTGAATGGCTAAAGACAAGAAGATTACTATTGTCCATAGACCCCAGCACATCTCCTAGGATCATGTATATACATATATATATGAATGATTGTTGCAGAGCTTGGCAGAATATATTCAGTTCAGAGCATATTTCGCTTACACAACTTCAAGGTATAGGGTACACTGCCAACATCGCTCAAGTATGTTCATATGCAAACAAACAATTACTATATATTTCTTACAAATGAGTCGAATTTACTTTCTCAAATTTTTTATCTGTCATATATAATAAGGCAGATTGTCATGTTATTGGTATTTTGACTGTGTGTGAACCCCTTTTTGTGTAGGCCTTATCTTCATATCTTGACCTCAATTTGTGAATCAACGTCACTAAGAATCATGGATCGTTGATAAAAAGATACTCGGTAGATCTTCTTAAACCCCAGAAAAGAAATATTAGCCACATTTAACATTATAAATCAAGTCCTTGATATTGATTTCAAAGCTCTTGCATCATTGAGATCGGTTGTTTATAGTTGCTACTTTAGGTGCATCTGAAAGCCGAGGTCTACGATGCGGGGCCAATGGGTATGAGATCTCCATGTCGTTCTAACTTGCAAGCTCCAACAAGTCTTCACTCAATAGCCGAGATCGAAACTTTTTTGAACCGTTATTACCGAAGGTTCTCTATATCTCTCAGAAACACTCGACCAACAACAATTGGTGACACCACAGCCGCAATCATGCCTCGAGCTCTCACCCTACAGCAGATCGAAGGCGCAAAGCCTGGAAAGGTCTATTATCCGTTAGAATAACTTTCTTCGTATACAAAGAGCCAATGACTAACGATATGTATAGACTTCAAGTCAAACAAATTCCAAAGCCAACACCAGGTCCAAATGAGGTTCTTGTCAACCTCTCCGCGGCGGCACTCAATCATCGTGACCTCTTTATGCGCCGTCATCTCTACCCAGCTATTTCCTTCACCAACCCAATTTTAGCAGATGGCTACGGCACTGTGGTCGCCCTAGGAAGCAATGTCACCCGTAAGAACCTCCTCAACAAGTCAGTCATTCTCACTCCCATGCGCGGCTGGGAATCAGACCCTGCTGCACCAGAAGATAGCCGCAAGTTTGCAGTCACCGGCGGTTCCAAACTCACTGAAGTCGGTACCGCCCAGGACTATATTGTAGTATCAGAGGAAGAAGTTGAGCCTGCGCCTGAACACCTCACACCCGCTGAGGGAGCGGCTCTACCTCTTGTTGGTGTCACAGGTTGGCGTGCTCTTGTTACGAAGAGCAATGCCGCTTTCTCTGGCTCAAACATTCTTATCACAGGCATTGGCGGCGGTGTTGCACTCCAGGTCCTTCAGTTCGGTGTAGCAATGGGCTGCAATGTCTTCGTCACATCCGGCGATGAAGCCAAGATTACAAAGGCCAAAGAGATGGGCGCAAAAGGTGGAGTTGTTTACAAGAACGAAGCCTGGGACAAGGAGCTTCGAGCACAGCTACCAGCCGATAGGCCATATCTCGATGCTGTAATCGATGGCGCAGGCGGTGAAATCGTGGGCAAGACTGTACGCTTACTCAAGGCTGGCGGTGTAATTGTGCAGTACGGCATGACGGTGTCCCCCAAGATGGATTGGCTGATGGCCGCGAATCTGCAGAACATCGAGCTTAAGGGATCAACAATGGGTTCCCGCAAGGAGTTCCGGGATATGGTTGCCTTTGTTAACGAGAAAAAGATTCGACCTGTCATCAGTAGAACAATCAAGGGGTTGGATAACCTTCAAGGAATTGATGATCTATTCAAAGACATGGATCAGGGGAAGCAGTTTGGTAAGCTGGTAATCGAGTGGGATTCAGGAAGTGAGTCACCCTCAAAACTCTAGATATTATAATCAACAAGGCAGATACTAAGACTCTTCACGAAAGTAGAAATAGAAATTGAAAGCACATTTTTCTTAGCTATTAATCCTTAAATAGAGACAACGAACGCCGAGATTTTTCAGGGTATCATACACCTCGAGAGCTTGTACATGAGATTCAAACAACTCACACCAGTTACCCATCCACGTAATATGATGCTCTCTCTGTTTACTCTTCCGACTTCTTGCGCTTCTTCTTGGGACGACCCTCTTCCGGTGGAACAAACTCGGCCTCTCGCTCCTTCGCCTTCTCCTCCTTTCGCTTGTTCTGCTTCTCCTTGCGCTCCTCCTGCACAGCACGCTTCTTGTCGCCCTTGCCCAAGAAGTACTCGCCAGTCTCGATCTGCTTGTCGACCTTGCTCTTTTCGGGAGCGGGAGGGAATGGTGTGTATGTCTTCTTGGTCTTGTCGGTGACCTTGTGGGGAACACGTCGGTGGCTGAGAGTCCTCTTTTTGAAGTTGGGTAGGAAGCGATCCCAGCTCTCGTTGGCAAGTTCGGGATCCTTTGCAAGCTCCCTTTTAATCATAAGCTCCTGCAAATGTGTTAGCTGGCTAAGTTATTCTTATGGCGAGCAGTTCCTCACTTTTATGTGGTAGATTGGGTGTATATTTTGCATGCAGTCCTCCACAACTCGTCGCATCTCCTTCAGTCCCTTGTAGGGTCCCATAGCGGATACCGTGTTTCCATGAACCAGGATGTATGTTTCAGTGAGTAGCTCGAGGGCCTTGAGAGTTGAACCGTTGGGTCCGAGTATTCTTTGTCTTCTCTTGACGAAGACCTCTTTGGGACCGACCAAGTTGCGTATCTTAATCACATCGCAAGCGATACCATCCTCGAGGATCTTGATAGCTTGAGGTGCGGGTACGGAGCGAGCCAGGAGCTTGATGAGGTCGCGGGCGTTGAGAATGGCGGCGGGATCATACGTCTTTCTCGTAGTTTTTACCGTCATAGAGCCTTCAACCAAATCGAGCGTGCAAGCGATTCCGTGCTTTTCGAGGGCTCGGGTAACCAGAGGCCATGCCTCCTTCAGATAAACTTCGCGGTATTTCGGAAATAAAGTAGCAAAGCTGCTCTCTTCGAGGAATGTGCCGCCAACATTATCCTTGGGAGTAAAAGCATCGACCTTCCAATGGTCTGTCCCTGGTAAGTCCCATGGTTTCTCTTTCTTGTGAGTCGAAGGCATCGTGTTGTGGTTGTGTTGAGTCTCTCCTGACGAGAACCTAAAGGTTGAGGGTTGCCTCGAGATTTTTTTCGATGGAAAGGTGAAGTCTGGGCTGGTGGGGCGACCTGATTATGGGGATATCATGACCCACACTGCGGGCCAATCAGAACGCTAAAGGCATTGGCTCTCGAATTTCTTCAGTTCGCAAAACACTATCAACGTTTAACGTCGCAACGAGACATCACCAATTCCAACACAACCGCAGTCATGTCAAAGGGCCGAGGCGCCGTTGATCAGATCGTGAAGCTGATCGTGGGAGCTGGACAGGCTAGTCCTAGTCCTCCTGTTGGTCCTGCTCTCGGTTCCAAGGGTGTGAAGTCTATGGACTTTTGTAAGGTCAGTATCAAATGAGCTCAGACGTCAATTGTATGCTAACTTGCGCTCAGGAATTCAACGCCCGAACTGCCCATATTATCACTGGAACACCAGTGCCTTGTCGAGTTACTGTCCGTCCCGATCGATCATTTACCTTTGACGTCCGAACACCGCACACCTCATGGCTTCTCCTCAACGCCGTTGAAGCTCCCATGGGAAAGAAGGGCAAGCGAAAGGGTGCCAGCAAGCCCGGACACGAGACTGTCGGCACTCTGTCCCTGAAACACATTTACGAGATTGCAAAGATCAAGCAGACTGAGCTCCGACTTTCTGGTCTATCGCTAGAGGGACTTTGCAGGTCGGTCATTTACCAAGCGAAGACGATGGGAATTGAAGTAGTAGCTTAAGGGAATGTTTACGAAAGAAAATGAAAAGACCACAGAATGTGGTGTATACGAAGATCTCCAACCAGATATTATAGTTGTACAACAGTTTATGGACAGGGAGTTGGGCTTCTGACTAGAGGAAGAATTGTACGATGCATCTATTCAGCGTTCAAAAGGCGAAATACTGATTAGTTCGCCTAACATTACCTACATTCTTCCCCTTTACATGACATGTGATAGGCTCATTCGGTTCTTCGATGGCCCTCACGAGCTCCACCTTCAAGCAATTCTTCCACTCACTGGTTATTCTTTCACAATTGCGTGTTTCGGGCAGGCCGATCTTATGTCAGGCTTATTCCGATGCCATTGATGTGAGAAGATGGACATGAACGTGGTTTAGCACTTGATGGCCGAGTGAGTGATTGCAGACGGTAGTTGTCCGAGGTCATCAGGTAACACATGTGAAGTTGATCTGGTCTTTAACAACTCGCAACACGTCAGGACCTCACGTGCCTCTATAAGTACGTGGGTAGGTATCCAGGAAATACCCTCGATCCACCATACGCGTGGCTTGCATGAAGTCTCGTATCCTGTTGAAACTAATGAAGTCATGTGGAATACATATGACTGTATCCCATGTACGATGCATCTCAGATCATGATTATATGTACGTCAAACCATCATTGAAACAATTGGTCCATATGCTGTGTCATCGATGCTTGGCAATATGTTTATATACCACGCTCTGTGTTCAATTACACTAAGTAACTACCTAGTGGATGGCTCAGTAGATGATAAAAATAATTAGACAAGTTTAGGATATTAGGATAATAACATCATAAACTTAGTAGGCTCTTTGACTTACTCTTTCTGGCACCCTAATTAAGAGTCCCAAGTTCTCGGACACCCTGAGGATTGGGTAACTATGTCCTAGTGATGAGACATGAAAAATGAAACGACTTAATAAGGTCCTGAAGCAATAAAGCTTCGGGATCTCGGGGCACAACGAAAGATCTACGGACTTGATAGATTTTCTGGGACCAGTTCCTGACTGTAACGGGTGATCACAGAAAGAGTCTGAAGATCGAGATAGCCTTATGGTCCCATCTGTTGAGTTAACCTTTATGGAAAGGTTCGAGTTCCATTGCCACTGAAACCACTCTAGCAAAACCGGAAATACGCAGACTTGACACCAATACGTGTAAGGCCAGGCTGCTTGCGTATGGTTCTAAATAAGAATTGAACTTGACACGGGACTTGTTGCTCACATTGGAATAGCCCAAGGAACAGAAAACCTTTTCGCTATTCGAATTAGTGGGGTTGATTATTTTGATTATACTTGACTGGTTGTTGACGAAGGGATAAAAAGATTCTTGCAACTTGGAGGCTTGGGGGCGACCGAAACTTGGCCGGGAGCTCCGCCGTGACTGGGCTGGACTTGGACTCGGCTTTGCGTTACGTATTAAAACTTGAAGGGATAAAAAATTCTCGTGTTCCATGTTTCTAGAAGCAGGTGATACTTGACATTGTCGCACATTATGTCTCACACGTTTTCTGGGTTGAGGCTCTCTGACACATGGGTCACTTACACAAAGGCCGCGGCACCATAACGGAGTTTACACTTGTAGGAGCCAAGTAACGTTAGATATCACCCATGCTGATGTTTCTCGTGTTAATCGTATTACTTCAAGACACCGCTATATCAATCAAGCTTGTTCATATACTTATGGATACGTCGACTAGGGAACGAAGCTGAGCGAGAGCCTAAATCGGGTCAGATCGTTGAGTTTGACAGGGGGTCATGTTCACGGATCTTGAACTGTTTGAGTGAAGTGAACTTCAACACCGGAAAACTAACCGTCTTCCCGATCCTGCATTGTTAGTGCACATACGGATATGGATGGCTGTTGGTGGCACCCTCAGTGTAAGATGAGTTGAGTCATAGTGACAAGAAGGTTTCCAACCCAACGAGGAAATTGTTTTGCAACCCAATGCAATGCAATTGTAATTGTCCGCGGGCACTGGACTGCTTCCATTATTCATACTCATGTGTTGAATTTTTCTCTTGACAAGGAGCCCTGTCTAGTGATGCGCCAGGGCCATGAGATCAGGGAGACCTTCGTAAGTCGAGGTACATGATACTCAGTGCTTACTATACCACTTCAGTCAAGCTATCAGCAACAAAGATAAGTTAAAAGCTGACGATAGGGGGTATTTCTGTTGGGAAAAGTGACCAGATGAACACGGCGTACACGTTGACTCACAATCAACACGGACTCATCTTCAACTTAAATATTCGCATATGTCCGAACAAGCCTCAACTCTTGAATCCATCGTACTGTACCTGAGGGAATCACCAGCTGCCAGGAAACAGTTTTTAGCGCACGTCTAGCGTGTTTCTAGCACCCGCATTGCCGTAGAAGGACCTCCTAAACGCTAACTATTGCCCGTAGCCCAGCCCGGCCCAGCACAAGGGAAGAGAACCACTCGGACTGACCCCCAAAAGGTGGGAGAGAAGGAAACAAAGTGGGCCCCCCACTAAGTACATAGCGAGGTAGTAGTGCGGGCCATGGCTGTCCTCTTTTATCATCGTCGTCGCAACTCTTAGTCTGCTCAGTTTCGCTTCTTCTTACCACCCCCCTCATATTACTATCGTGGTTGCTTTTTGGTTACTTGGTCTATATCCCACCAAAGCATCCATTTATAATCCGATGAGTTCTTCAAATCCTCCCCAGGAGCTTCCTCGCTCCCAGGGCGTCTCTGGTAAGTCTATCATCCGGTTCTGCCGAGCCTATTCTGCCCCACCTTGATCGTCTACTCTGCGCACTGAAGCACTGCGAAACGATGGTTGTGGTACAATCGCTAACAGCAGACATATTAGAAGCTTCGGAGCCTGTTCAGAAATCTCAAGAGTCAATTGAGGACAAGGACGATGCATCTGAAGATACCTCCGGCGTTCGCTTCTCATCCGCTGTCCAGGAGATATCACCTACCCAACCCGCCGCCGTTGACCCGTCATCGTCGAACCCAGAGCATGAAGAGCACGACCAGTCAAGTCCTTTCACCGAAGTTACTGCCGACCAGCTTAAAGCGTTCACGAAGTCTCTCCACGGCCGACCGTTACAAGAATTGCGCTTGAACAACTGCCAATTTGAAGCTTTCTCGCTCCCGCCTTCACGAGTATGACCCCCCTTTCTGTGCTATTCACGCTTCGCTAGTTTTTGGAGAGTGTTCTCGGCCAAATTCTACTCTAATTACTATCTGTAATTCGATTGTGGCATTTGAGCTTTGTGACGTTATGTCACAGCGTTGCTAACTGAAGGTTCTGTGACTAACGCTAACTGATGTCATCGTAGGTCCCATCGCATGAGGATGAATCCGGACAGTCTACCAGATTGCCCACACCCACCTCTGCCACCTTCCAATCCCCGCATACCAGCCCTCAAGTCTCTACGTTGGCTTCCCCTCCCCTTACTCCCGCGGGATCCGGTCAGGCTAGTTCGGATAAGAAGGCTAGGGAAGGGTCCAAGACGAATGAACCCCCGGTTATCACCCCACAGCCATCGTCATCCCATGAAAAGGCTTCACCAGCTCCCGATAGAAGACCTTCAGCTCCTCGAGCTGCTTCGGATCATGCAGTCCGCAGGGCTTCTTCGGCTGAAGAGCAACATCAGTCCCATCGTCGAGGCATGTTTGGAGTAGGACCTGGTTCTGTGCCTGCTTCTCGAGAATCTAGTCCGTCCCGAAGCTCAGCATCAAATTTCTACTCTAAGCCGTTTACGCCCGGCGGCGATATCAACGATCCCTACGCCAAAGGACGACGACCTGCACCAGCAGCACATGCAACGAAGCACTCGATCGACCCTAGGTTCATTTTCTCGCGCAAGAAGAAGCATGGCTCTCCCCATGGGTCCAAGTCAAATCTGAACGAGAAGCGCGGATCGTCAATCTTTGGTAGCGCAAGGAACAGTAGTGAGGAGCTTGCACCGAATGATAGCATCTCGACAGGCAACCTTCACCCTGGACACGGCTCAATGGCAGATTTAAAACGATTTTTCCGCAAGGGCGGACATCACAACAAGAAGCGAGAGTCGTCTCCAGCACCATCGATCAAGCTCGGTACAAAGGCTGCTGCATCTAAATCGACCCAGCAATTGCCATTTGGAGATGACCACGGGTTGTCTTCCAAGTACGGCAAGCTCGGCAAATTTCTGGGCTCCGGCGCGGGTGGCTCGGTCAGACTGATGAAGCGCAAGGACGATGGTACCGTATTTGCAGTCAAGGAGTTCCGCGCGAGACACACATACGAAACCGAAAAAGAGTACAACAAGAAAGTAACAGCCGAATTTTGCGTTGGATCGACTCTTCACCACGGCAACATCATCGAAACGTTGGACATTCTTCAAGAAAAGGGGCGTTGGTATGAAGTGATGGAATATGCGCCATTTGATCTCTTTGCAATCG